AACCAGAACAGAATGGAGAAAAAATAATTTTTTAAAGATTTTATTTATTTATTTTTAGAGAGGGAAGGGAGGGAGAAAGAGAGAGAGAAACATAAATGTGTGGTTGCTGGGGGTCATGGCCTGCAACCCAGGCATGTACCCTGACTGGGAATCAAACCTGCGACACTTTGGTTCGCAGCCCGCACTCAATTCACTGAGCTACGCCAGCCAGGGTGAGAAAAAATAATTTTTTAAAAGAATGAGGAGAGGCTTAGGAACCTCTGGGACAACTTTAAACATTCCAACATCTGAATCATAAGAGTACCAGGAGAAGAGGAAGAGCAAGACATTGAAAACTTATTTGAACAAATAATGGAGAACTTCCCCAATCTGACAAAGGAAATAGAATTCCAGTAAGTCCATGAAGCTCAGAGAGTTCCAAAAAAGGTGGACCCAAGGAAGCACACACCAAGGCACATCATAATTCCATTACCCAAGATGAAAGATAAGAAGAGAATCTTAGAAGCAGCAAGAGAAAAGGAGACAGTTACCTACCAAGGAGTTCCCATAAGACTGTCAGCTGATTTCTCAAAAGAAAACTTGCAGGTAAGAAGGGGCTGGAAAGAAGTATTCCAAGTCATGAAGGGTAAGGACCTACACCTAAGATTACTCTATCCAGCAAAGCTATCATTTAGACTGGAAGGGCAGAGAAAGTGCCTCCCAGGTAAGGTCAAGTTAAAGGAATTCATCATCACCAAGCCCTTATTCTATGAAATGTTAAAGGGACTTACCTAAGAAAAAGAAGATAAAAATATGAACAGTAAAATGACAACAAACTCACAGTTACTAACCAAACCTAAAACAAAAACAAAAACTCAGCAAACAACTAGAGCAGGGACAGATTCACAGAAATGGAGATCACATGGAGGGTTATCAGTGGGGGAGTGGGTTGGGAGAGAGGGGGAAAAGGTACAGAGAATAAGAAGCATAAATGGTAGGTAGAAAATAGACAGGATGAGGTTAAGAATAGTGTAGGAAATGTAGAAGCCAAAGAACTTATATATATATATATGACCCATGGACATGAAGTAAAGGGGGGGAATACAGGTGGGAGGGGGTGTGCAGGGTGGAGGAGAGTAAAGGGGGGGGATGGGACAACTTTAATAGTATAATCAATAAAACATATTAAAAAAATGAAAACCTCTCAGCAGGCCAAACAAAAACAAACAAAAATTTCCAATAAACTTTACTTGAAAGTTTAATGATTTACATTTATTTTAAATTTATGTAACTTTCTTAATTTTGAAAAGTAAATTTTAATTTTAATTTTTTAGTCCCTTTGGTTTAAGATGGAAAATAGTGGCTGAAATAAAATGCTTCTGCACAGCTAAAGAAAACATCAGCACAATGAAAAGGGAACTAACTGTATGGGAAAATGTATTTGCCAGTGATACTTTGAAGGGTTTGATCTCCAAAATATATAAAGAACTCACATGACTCCACTCCAGGAAGACAAACAACACAATTAAAAAATGGGCAAAGAACTTGAATGGACACTTCTCCAAGGAGGACATACATAGGGCTCAGAGACATATGAAAGGATGCTCAGCATCACTAGGCATCAGAGAGATGCAAATTAAAGCCACAATGAGATACCACTTCGCATCTGTCAGAATGGCCATCGTAACCAAATCAAAAAACAAGTGTTGGTGAGGCTGTGGAGAAAAGGGAACCCTAGTGCACTGTTGGTGGGAATGCAGACTGGTGCAGCCACTATGGAAAACCAAATTTCCTCAAAAATCTAAAAATGGAACTGCCTTTTGACCCAGCAATTCCACTGCTGGGATTATACCCTAAGAATGCTGAAACACCAATTCAAAAGAACCTATGCACCCCAATGTTCATAGCAGCACAATTTACAATAACCAAGTGCTGGAAACAACCTAAGTGCCCATCAGTAAGTGAATGGATCAAAAAACTGTGGTACATTTACACAATGCAATACTACACAGAAGAAAGAAGGAGCTCCTACCTTTCACAACAAGATGGATGGAACTGGAGAGTATTATGCTAAGTGAAATAAGCCAAGCAGTGAGAGACAGATACCATAATACAATCTCACCTATAAGTGAAACCTAATCAACAAAACAAACAAGCAAGCAAAATAGAACCAGAGACACTGAAATAAAGAATAGACTGACGGTAACCAGAGGGGAAGGGAGAAGGGATAATGAGGTGAAAAGGGGTAAGGGTCATCAAGGAACATGTATAAAGGACACATGGACAAAGCCAAAGGGGGTAGGATCAAGGGTGGGAGGTGGGGAGGAGTGGGGCATGGGGGGAATGGTGAGGGGGAAATGGAGACAACTGTACTTGAATAATAAAAAAAATAAAAATTAATTCTTTTAGGACGAACTGTGTTTTCATTTTGTGCTTATTGAAATAGTTAATTGATAACTTCAGGACAGTGGATTTGGCCATTACCAAAGTTTGAAAGAAGAAAAAAGATTTGAAAGAAAAATACTTTGCAGTAAATAAAAAATTTATTTTTAATGTATTTAATTACAAATTTATAGAAAAGTTATATTTACAGTAAAAATATTTTTTTCTGCATCATTAAGTCATGATACATGATGCCCCATTCACCCCTTGATGTGTATTTCCTAAAACAGGGAATTTTTTCCTACATGCAAAACAACCATCAAAGTCAGAAATTTAACATTGATACACTTCTAGTACCTAATTCTCACACTTCATTTGCATTTTTCCAGTTGTCCCAATAGTGTCCTTTATAGCAAAAGAATCCAGTTCAGAATTATGTTATATTTTGTTGTCATGTACCTTTAATTTTTAGTCTAAAACAGCCTTCCATTCTTCCTTAACTTTCATGACCTTGACACTTTTGAAGAATATTTCCTGGCATGAAACTCAGTTTGTCTGATGCTTCCTCATGATTAGATTCATATTATGCAGAATTGTCAGGGATATAACAAAGTGATGCTGTATTTTTGTCATTTCATTTAATGAAATGGAACAAATTTTTTATCCCACTGTGACAATATTCACATTGAACTATTGATTAAGATGATGTCTGCCCAGTTTTCCACTGTAAATTACTTTCCCTTTGTAATTTATCAATATTTTGAGGAAAGTTACATTGCAATTATGTATATATCTTTTCCTCACCAAAATTTCAATTTATTCATTACTTAGACATGTAAGTATAGACTCATGAATCCATATTTTATTCTATTACTGTCTTTATTTATTACAACATTCAAATTTTCCTAGATTGACTAATGGGGTCCCCTTTAAGCTGGCCTTTTGTGTCCTTTTATATGTCCCCATCATTCTTTGAGGAATTCCTTGTCTTTTACAAAAAGATATTCCATCTCAAACTGCCCCTTTCCTGTCCCAGCCCTGAAATCATCCATTTTCTCAAGAGATCCTGTTTCTTTTAATTTTTAAAAGGTTTATTTTTTAGATTTTATTTATCTACTTTTAGAGAGAGGCAAGGGAGAAAGAGGAGAGAAACACTGGTATAAGAGAGAAACATCCATTAGTTGCCTCTTGCACATGCCCGGACCAAGGACCAAACCCACAACCCAGGCAAATGCCTGACTGGGAATCAAACCAGCAACCATTCACTTTGTGGGATGACATCCAACCAACTGAGCCACACTGGTCAGGGAAAAACCCTGGTTCTTTTAGCAGAACATGGCATTGAGAAGCCAAGATCTGGATACTAACTGTGCTCATTTTTGTTAGCATGTTGCTGCTCTCAGGCTCTCTTGGTTGAAAAGCTAGGGTCTATATCTAATATATATCTATATCCATATATATACCCATATATATAGCTATTACTACATATCTATATAAAGAGCAAGATATATCTACAAACACATTTACATCTATATGTGTAATCTATCATATATTGAGAGCTATGTGATCTGTTCACATCAATACTTTCGATTCTAATCCCAAAACAAAGGGTTCATTCTAGTGTTTTTCTTTTTGAATATCTGCTTCTCTCTTCTTCAACAGTAAGAAACCTGGATCCTATTACCGCTTATATGTTTTCTTATTTGACTCATAACCCTGTGGTATCCAAGTTCCCGTTCCCGCCTCTCCCCCACCCATGTGGATTTCCTCCTTACCCTCCCCTCCCTCCTCAGGGTCTGATACTTCATGCTGGGCCACACCCCTGGTCTAGATCTCCTCTTCATCCACCAGGACTTGGACTCCCCATTCTCACCCTGTTTGGGCTGTGACTGCTCATGCTGGTGGCTGCCCTGCATGGATGTCCTCCTTACCCTGTTTGGCTCCTACCCTTCATGTAGTAAGCCGCTTCTCTGCACTGTGTGTCACCCAACTCACCCTTCTTGGGCTCTGACATACTATGCCAAGCTGCTCCCACCTCGTGGACTCCCTCTTTGCCTCACACAAGCTCTTCCACTTCATTCCAGGCCATGGGCCAGCACTGCTCCCTCTTGGTTCCCACTGGTATAGAATCTGTCCTTGCTCTGTCTCATGTTTAGGACTGACCACTTTGTGAAAAGAATAGGAAGAGTCCAAATAACTCTTAAATATGCATATTTGAAGATTATCTTTGCTGAATTTTGTTGAACTAGAATATCAAACTGGAGACAATATATTTATGGTTCCAAATACTGCTGACCATGTTACAACTGTGTGTGTGGGGAGGCACTTATATTTAGTTGTGAGGCCCCTTTAGACTTTGCTTTGGACAAATTAATCCTGCTAAAGTTTGGCTGGAACAAAGACAGCATTTACTGAGGTGAACAGGAAAAGTAATCAAGTAGACCTCCCTTTTCAATCTAACCTTATTTTGCTTCATCTGTTCCTCAGAATAATTTGCTGTACAGATTGGCCCCAGGGTTCTAAATTACAGAGGACCTTGAGTCTTCAAGACTAAAGCATTTGTTCTTTCACTTAAAATCAACAATGCTAAGTTACTGAATGTGTCTGAGCAGAAAAGAAGCATGGGATTGTGAGGAAAACTTTAATTTCTAATGACCAAATTGAAAAAAAATCATGAGTACATCATACATCTTGTTAACTTTTCTTAGAATGAACAGTATAAAGAGAAATTGTTTTATAGTTGGGGTGCTAATAATAAGCTGGCTTATTAGTGAATAAAGTATTTACACCATTTAGATAAATCTGCCTCAGTATCACTCTCTAATTTACTACTATCACAGTAATCAATCAGTAATTACTTCCTTTTATATTAAGTATAAGGTACAATATAATAAATGTGATTCTTGTCTGGAGTAACTGGCTTTGTCCAAGTCAGAAAAAAATGTGCATTATTCAAAAATCCTTTTCATATTTAGAGGAAGGACTATTAACCAAATATTTGAGCATTTGATTTTGGATAAACACTTTCAGCACTGTTTTAATTACTACAGAACTAGGATAGAACAGGGCTTTAATTTTCAAATGATGGTCCAGGGAACCCTGCCAATGTATGTACTTCTCAGGAGGTTCAGGCAGTGGTTGGCATCACCCAACAGCAGGCATCAGAGCCTGGTGGGGCCCCAAGTGTTAGCTTCCAACTGCCCTTGGGGGAATGAGAACATGGTAGGGTGGGAAGACCAAGGACAGAGGACATGCACACCAGGCAGAGGTCACTGGAAACAGAGAAGGAAGACAGAGGAGCCCAAAGGAGAAAGGGAGGAGGTGGAAGTGAAGGAGAGGAAGAGGAGAAAGAAAAGCATTTGAAAGGACATGTGACAAGGTTATCAAAAGATGAGATTGATGATTGGAGGAAATACAGGAAATATAGAAAGAATGTTTAAGAAAACATAGGAAGATATCTCATGCACAGCAATTTGAAGACAAGGGGATATTTGATTGCTTAAATTTTAAATTTCTAAATTTAAAGGGAAAACCTTTCTGACCTGTGCCCCACAGTCAAATCTGAGTAGACTGCACTTTGGCTTGTCCTCAGGGCCAAGTCTCACAGACGGCCATGCCCACTCAGGGAGTATCTTCTTGTGAAGTGGATATGCAAGTAAATTTTGCAGTGCATTTTAATTTGTGGTTCCTTAAATTATATAAGAAATGGGGGGCGGACCTTAGATCCCATTGTCTTGAGCTCATATAACATATTTAAAGGCCTTTAATTGATGTATTTCTTAGTCTTTATATTATCACTCTGAGGTAGATAGGAGATCTGTTCTACAAAAATCCCCATTCTACAAAAACAAATCTAACTGAGAACAAAGAATTAAATTATATATACACAAACTCTAGAGTAGAATGATTTGCCTCAGCTGTCCTGATTGTTTCAGATGTGAGAAGATTAAGTGTGACTGATGAAAATGTTTAAAGTTATCCGAACTACAAGTAAGTTCAATTTGGCCAAATGCAACCACATTTCAAACTTGATCCCGAGTGCAAAGCTGAAAAGATTATGCCTTTTACTTCCAGTTTTCTTTATTTGACCATCTCCTTTATGCTGAACATTAGCCCATAATTGCTCTTGTCTGTTGACATCATTATTTTTACTCATCAACTTTGGCTAAAAGAGTGTCCATTCCCACAGGCGAAGCGTCAAGAGCTGCAAGGCAGAGCAGAGCCCTCCTCTCCAGTCTGGCTTCCAACAACAGCAAGCCTGAAGGCATTTCATGGACCTTGCACTCCTGGGTCTTTTTGTGACATCATAAATTCAGTAGCCAGTAAAGTGTGGCACAAAACCTTATGCACCCTGGGGAGAGAGAAAGGGGCAGCAGACACACTTCTTGCCTTCAGGGCACTTCACATGGCTGATAAAATTGTCGGGTTCCTTCTTTTTAAAACTTGCTCTTCTTCGGCCTTTCTTTGGGAATATTATTCTTTTGGTTTCTGTTTCTTCACACCGGTGTGTTATTTTCTCATTATTATTTTAAATACTGAACTAAATAAACTCTAGAGTATTGCAGATCAGTACTTCCCTCAAAAAAGAATGTGCTCATTTAGCCCATGATTTACTATTCCACTGGCCTTCACGACAGAATAAGCAAGACAAGACTTTCTAAGGTAAAATTTTTACAAGTTATTTAAAGTAAATTCTGTGGTTTAACAGCCCAACTTGAAGTGAAATCTTCCACAGAAATACAGCAGTGCTGGCAAAACCCTCAGCAATCACTGAGCCTCAGAGCCAGCATGACAAGGAACAGGACTCTGAGCCGTAAATGTAACTGCAATACAAACAACAAAACATGTGGCTTTCTAGTCTCACACAGTGCTGGAAGACAAAACTGTCAACAAACTACCTTATAATATGCAAGAGGAATGCCAAAAGTGGCCACTAAATTATGTGTTTTTTCGTAGCCATGCAGCTATCTTGGCACTTTGGTTTTTGTTTTTCAGATTTTCGTTCTTTATTGTCTGTAATTTGGCATGAATTGTGAGCTTCTGGTGCTCCTCCAACATGGGACTGAAAAACTGCTGCAGCTGAAAGGACAAAGAGATGATCAGGCAATCTAACTTCTCATTTAGACAAAACAAGATAGAGTTCATGCTAAGTTACAACATGCTTTTGCAAAAGGCTGATGACAGCTGGAATGGGTAGAAATCTGTCAAGACCACCTACCCTGAAGAATCAGATGTAGACTGGAAGCTCCATGAAGTGGGACTTTCATCTATTTTATTCACTGTTCTATTCCCCAAGCAGCTAGTAGGTGCTCAGTAAAGATTTACTGAATGCATACTGGATATTAGATAAGATTTGTGGACAGACATCCAGGGAAATCTTTTCTTATCTCACAAGAAACTGCAACTTTCAAAGCTCAAAACTGGCATGCAACATTTGTGTCTTTACACATGTTAACTTTTATTTAAGAATATTTAGATAGTGGATTTGTACATTGGCTAAATTCCTTCATTGGGTCAAACATTCAGCCATAGGAACATATGCAATATTATGTACAAGCCAGACCTCAATTGACTTATTAGTTATATTCCAAGTTTGTTTCTCCATCAATGAATTAGAATTCAGAACATGAGAGATGACAGTGTACCATGCCAGCTCACAAAATATCACTTATACCCTAATGCACTTGAATTGAGTAGTAATAGGGCTCTCAAGGCTACTTACAATGTAAAAGAAGAAGAAGGTTCTAGAAAAAGTAGATTAAGGAACCAGAAAAACCTCCCACCATTGCCTACACCTGTCCACACCTGTCAAGCCGTGGGAGCCACATACCCACAGGAACACATGATTGTGTTCCTGCAGTGAGTGGGAGGGGACTGAGGGTCTCTGGTGTTCTAGGTGCAGTTTCCTGTGCCTCGAGAGCACAAGTGAGACCAGGCCCCAGCAGGGCAGAGTGTAAAGAACAGAGCAAAAGCAGCAAAGGGCGTACAGAAATTGTATTGGAAGAGAAGGAGAAGGGACTCGTGTGACTTTCTTTTCATCCTCTTATTAGTAATTATTTTTGATATTATCATGTGAATTAATACATTATAGTAAGACTGTTGGGAATTAATAGGTTTTTGACAAGGATTTTTGTAATAGCTAACTTGTTTTTAAAAGTGCAAAAATTTAATCACTGCTAAATCCACTTTTGCATTTTTTTTTAATAAACTATCAGTGACTACAGACTTTTCGAATTTTGAAAACTGCTCAATTTACATAACCTTTATTCATTCATTAAACAACAAAACTGCCTGCTATGGAGACAAAGACAAACAGATGTACTTTAGAAGACACCCACACAAACTCAGTCCCGATTCCAGGAGCTTCCCTTCCAGCATTGCTGGGTGTGCCCTGAACTCTCTTGTCCAGGAAGTCCCCATAAATCAGGTCCTGACAGCTCAGCCTCAGGCAAGCCCAACTGAAACAAAGATAATTCCTCTGGGATTTAGAGGTTCATCCTCTCTCTCATTCTAACAACTACATAACTCACAGCTTAACTCACTGCTTCTCTCTTTCTTGCTCAGGATTAAATTTCCGGCCTTTACAACCTACGCATTTATTTGTTTACTTGCTGTGGCAGGGGAGTTGAATTTCCTTTCTTGTTTACATGAACCCCTTTCTATTTTTATTAATATAGTTTCAGGCCCTGGTTAACTTGTACTCTTGCATTTTTAAAAAATATATAATCAGCTTTATTGCAATAAAATTTATGTACAATAAACTATCCACTTAAAGTGTACAGGTTGAGCTTCACTCTTTGTATACACCTGTGAAACCATAGCCACCATCAAGACACAGCCCATTGACATCACCCACAGACGTGTCTTCAGACTCTTTTTAGGCCATCCCTCCCTCTGTCCCAGGCAACTGCTGATTTATCTTTTGTTTCTATAGATTAGTTTGCATTTCCTGGAAAGTGTCTGTATTCCTTTACTCAGCATAATCATCTTGAGATTCATCCATGTTGCTACACAAACTTGGTTCCCTCTTTTAAAAATTTTATTGTGGGGCAGTATTCCACTGTGAGGATATATTACATTTTCCTTGTCATTTTGCCTATTGAAGGACATTTGCGTGGTTTCCAGTTTTTGGCTAACGTGAATAAAGCAGTTATGAACATTCAGGTGCAAGTATTTGTGTGAACATAGGTTTTCATTTTTCTTGAGTAAAAACCTAAAAGTGGAATTATTGGTCACATATGTTTAATTAACATTTTAAAATATTGCCTGTTTTCTGAAGTCATTGAACCACATTACATTCCCACCAGTAGGGTAAGAGGGTTCTAGTTGCCTTACATCTTTGCTAACCTTCGGTATTGTAAATCTTTCTAATTTTGCCTATGCTACTGGGTGTGTAAAGATTGTATTTATATTTTACTCCTGTTTTATTTTGTGGGTGTGTGGCTTTTTGTAGACATTAGCTTTTATCCCTCAGTTTACCTTGGTGATAGGATTCCCTTTTTCTTTCCAGAACTACCCCTCCCCTATCCCAGAGTCTGTGGTTTGGATGGGGCTGGTTCCAAATATGGGCACATGACCCAGGCTAAGCCAATCAGAGTATTTCATTCCCTGTGGACCCAGTGATTGGTGCATATGACCCAAGTAGGCCCAACCAGAGCACTTCCCTCAGGGCTGGAACTTGAAGCTGGGTGAGAAAGGATTCCTCCTTCTACAAATGAGGGTGCTGAGGATCATAAGCCTGGAGCTATGCTGGCCTCCAGGTGGAGAATGACTGCCTAAGAAGTTCAGTCCAGAATAAAGAAAAGCAAGCCCCATATTAGGTTGTAGAACACAGATAAAATTAAAATATGGTCTCAGTCCTCAGGGAGCTCATTTTGATAAAGTAGATGTATTTATACACTGTTCACTTTATAATATGCTAAGTGCTATGATGAAAATATTGATAGGATGGTTTGGGATTATGGAGGAAGAAAGGGTATAAATCAGTTCATAAAAATTCCTGGAATAGGTGGTGGGAGCAGGGTCTTAAAGAATGATTAGGAACTGTCCAGTCAAGGACAGGGCTGGGGAGAGCACCCAGAGGGAAGGTAGAGTGTTTCTGAAATCTAGAAAATGTGAAACAGGATAATTTCAGAAAATCTATTACACGGTAAAGTACAGCTGGAGGAAAAGTGTTTGCGGGCATCTGTCTCTCTTGCTTTCTGATATTCAGTGGTGAGGTGGGCAAAAATGAAGTCATGGAGTAAGGTAGGAGCCAGCTTATTAAGGACTTCATGTGGTAATGAAAAGGTTTTAAATTTTCCTCAAAACTGTTAAGCTACTGAAGCTTTGGGAGCAGGGCAATGTTCGGCAGCAGTGTGAAGAATGCATGGAGCCAGACCAGCCTGGGGCGGGGAGCCCGAGCCAGAATCTACTGCAGTAATCCAAGGGAAAAAGAATGATAGCCAACCCTCAAGAGCAAGATAGAATTTAAAAAAAAACCTTGTGCATAGTTATAATAGCACCAAGGGGAACACAGAATGTAATACTTCAGATAAGCATATTATTTTTAATTTTAGCAACTCCAAATGACATGAAAAAGTGGCTTCCAAATTATTATAATCCACAATATCTAAAGTACTTACCTCCATGATCTGTAAATCTGTACTTATGGTTCTCCCTATTATATACATTAGTGTAACCAATGACTGAGTTCCATACCTGCAAAGCAACAAGATGCTGATCAGGATTGGGAAATATGTTGCAAGACAGCTATATTTTCTCTGCCAGAAAAATGCTGAATATATAGCCCCTTTTAATTTTTATCTCCAAAATCTAAGAGAAAACATGTATGAACTAGTTTACCTTCATTTTTTAATAGAAAATCTGTTAGCACTAAAAAGTATTTATAGTTTAACACTGATTTGTGTAATACAGTTTATAGTTTACTTAAGTGTTAAAAGCTCTTATTCAAAACAATAACACTGACAACTGTTTTTATCTTTTTAAATAAAGTGGTTAAAATACATGTCACATACCCCAAATTAAGAAAATTTGTAAGGGAGTAAATAAATATACAAATTATACCTCTTAAAAAAACAGTGGTTAATGTGGGATCAGTTTTGGAAACTCTGACTAAAATACCCTGAAAACTCATTTAAAATTTTGTGTTTGCATATGTTTTTTTGGAGAGAGGAGCCATATCATCTGAGATTCTCCAAATGTTGGTGATCATTCAAGGCTAAGTTCCTGGCTCTATTTAGGCTCCCTCAAACACACAGGGTCACTGAAACTTCCTCCTTAGTTCAGTGTTCCTGAATACCCAGGGAGAATCATCTTTTAAAAAGCCACAAAGTGTTGCTATAGAGAAAGCAGATACATACCTGCCCAAAGTGGTGTTGTAGCTTTAAAAGTAAATAAAGACTTTTGGATGCATTAAAAAAAGAAAGAGAATTAAAATAGAGTCAATATGGACAGAACAAAAAATGGTTGACATGCCTTGATAGTTAATACACACAATTGATTTATTTCAAGAATGTTTACTTGAAATTAAAAATTGTGAGAGTTAATGTTGGCATAATATACAAACAAGGGTGAGAGACAACAGTGCTTTTGTTCTTTTTAGGTTCTCAGCTATAATGTGAACTGCATCTACTTGAGCAAAGTGGAGGACAAGAGACAATCTACATGTAATTCAGACAAGCAAACTTGTTTCTGTGGGGAAAGTGGGAATATTTCTTAGTTCTTCATTTTTATTGCCCAGATATAAAAAGCCTGTGAGATGACTCAAGAAACTTGGCAAAATTTGCAAAGAACCCAAGTTTCTAACCTTTAAAAAAAGGTGGAAAACTATCTAGGGTGATAAATGTGTGATTTTCTAGCAGATCCAAAAGAAAAATTACCCCAAGAGGCAGGGCTCAATTTGAAGTTACCCTGGGTCACTTTTAAACTGTAAAAATGGGGAACAACATAGAGTTAGAGGCACTGTTCTGGACAGTAAGTGAGATAATGTGTGCTGAGGCATGTGTTCGAGCCCCTGGCACACCTCATTCCTTCCTGCTCTTGCAAGCTTCAGGATATTTTTGAGACAGAGAAGATTTGTCGCTCTTGTGGGAAGAGCAATCTTTTTGAAATATTACTGAACAAAAATGTATACTTTACAAACAGTTTATCTCACAAGTAGTCAAATGCATTCTAATCACCATAAAGAACCAGTGGGTGTCAGCCTAGTTACCCCTTTAAACATATTGATAGCATTCAATGCCAGCGTGGACACAGTGATTTGGGTACTCTAGTCTGGCTCACCTTCTGCCCCTCTCCTTTCTCACATTTCCCTTCCCTTCCTCTCCCACTCCCTGCTCAGTCTGCTTCCTGTGGCAAGCATGGAGGCACCAACACATCCAGTCAATCCAGCGACAGGTGGTGGGAATGGGTCCACTCCAACATCTCAATTCTCCCAGTTCCCTGGTGCTCCTATATAACCCTTTCAACTCTCTATTCCTTATTGTAAAATACAACATGATGCAAGTTAAAATAAGTGCAGGTTTCAAGCTTAGGACTTTAGGCAATATAACAATATTTGGAAGAGAAATCATGTGTTTGGTTGAAGAAAAGGGTAAGATTCATTTCAGACCAGCTGAGTTTGAAACTGATTATACCTTATATTATATATTCAAATAAAGCTAGGGTTTTCCTGTAGGCTGTGAAATCCACATTGATTTAAGAAAGCCAAAGCCAGTTATCAAGAATGATCAGAGTGCAAATATAATTTCTACCACATTCAATAAAAAGTCACAAAAATCCTATTGTTCCACCTCTATTCATACATTCTTCCATAGACTCTATCCACATCTGCATGTACATACTGGTTTTCCAGTAACCTGATGGAGGTCAGTGGAGCTTCCTCTGTTTAGATCAGTGCTCAGAGGACCATCTGTGGTCCAAGAGTGAACTAATTACTCTTCTGCAACCCGTGCAGTGCCTGCATCTGGGAGTGAGGGCAGGACCAAGCTAAAGGTGTTCTATTCAACCAAATACTCCAAAATATACTTTCAGTTGAGGCCTCCTGAGAAGATACCTGGGCCTGGTTGAAGGGAGCAGATGTTCCTGAACTGCTATTGGCTGTGTGCTCAACTTCACACTTGACCTGCCCTCTCTCCTCCTTAGTGCCCTCAGCTCCAGCCAGTGACTGTGACCAGTACCAAGTCAGTCTTTCAGCCCTTCAATGTAGAAGGTGACTTTTTCCAACTCCACCTGTTCCGATCTCACTCAACTCCCTTTCTTCCTTTTGAATCCCCAAAGCCCACTCCATCTCTGCATTCTAATCACTTTATATCCCCAGCAACAGCTTAATCTAACTGTGCCTTGGCATAAAGAAAACAAAATATGTTATTACTAGAAAGAACTTTAGATTAATCAAATACATATCTCTCATTTTATGGAAGAGGAAACCAAGGCCTAAATGTTCATAGGCAAGCAATGAATAGATGTTGTTCCAGTTCCGTTTCCAAATGAGAGGTTTGAGGGACATTCTCATCTGTCTTTCTCTTGATACAAATGATCTACTAGCAAAATGACATGTTGTTTACATTAGCCTGTATAGTACGTAGCAGGACTACAGATGTAAGGTCCTAGGTAAAGTCTATGGAAAACTCTAGATTTCCATCTACAGGACTTCTTGGAGCCTTCATGAAGCTCACATATACTGTGAATTTGCAAAATTTGGGGTTAAAATAGACAGTTTCCAAACTGATTGGGCTATTGTCTTCTTGTTAACAGAAAGCTTACCAACATCTTCCATGCATGCTGCTCCGTGGACATACCAGAGAAACACTAATTTCAGTACCAACTTGCAAGTGATCAGTTACATTTTTAGCAAATCTAAAATAAATCCTTTCTACATTATTAACGTAAAACTCAATTTGTCAACAGCATTTATTTACTTATACTTTTATACTATATTAATCATCATACGAAAACAGGCATCATACATATCTTCATGTCAAATAAAACTGTTTAATAAATGATGGTCTGGTGTACAAAGAAGTGCGCATTTTTATGCCATTTTTAGTATATCATATTTTAATTATTAATTTTTCAATTGTTATTTATTTCCTTCTAACAATTTGTAAACATTATTGCTGTCTATTTAAACAAAATCCTTTATAAAATTCAGCAAGACTGGTGAATATAAATTGAACCCTAAAAATAAATGTATTAAATGTAGAAAACACATTTATTTGAATCGGAAAAACCTTTAATACCAGACATTTATGTGCAAGAAAAGTGAACTGAGATAAATCTGCCACAGACAAAATAGGCATCTATCTCATGAGCATAGCATTTGTGTGTGTGAAAGAAAAATATTCAAGCAATGGTTTAGAAGTTCATGCATTTAGACTTTTAGGAACTTCTCTAGGGATAAGGATAAGAACCATTTAAAGTTTTAAAATTTCTTCTCTATTCTTATTTAATAAAGTTATGTAGATCATTTAAATAAATTCCTAGACAACGGATTTTTCAGAGTGCTGCCAACATGTTCCTCTTCTGTAAAAGCAGAAAAATGTTCTTCTAAGGAATAAAAATGAAAACACACTTGAAGTCCCTTAAATTAAGGGCAACCTTTCCTACGGGGTGCTCAAAACATTTTGGGGCACCATCTTGGTGGTGCCCCACATCTTGGTGGCATGTGTGCTGTGTGTGGTACACAGAGGAAGGAGAAACTGACCCGAGGGCTGGTTTACCCGTGAAAGCAATGCCGCCCAGCCAGACTTTCGGCAGTGATGGAAATGTTTGATGTCTATGTAGCTACTGGCCACACGGAACACTTAAAACAGGGCTAGTGCAACAAAGGAAATGAATTATAAAGTATGTTTAACTGTAATTAAATTAAATTTAAATATCCACATGTTAGCTAATGGTTATCAGCCTTAGATAGTTTTTAAATCTAGTGTCATCTAGTACCATGTTAAGTTATACAGGAGTCCCCTGGAAAGCAAGTGAAAGGTACAGATTTCCCACAGTATTTGGGCAGATTCTGATTTTAAACAATTAGGTGGGCTTGGTAGTCTTAGGTTACTTAGCCATTCCAGGTGACTCTGAAGCTCTGCCGCATTAGAAAGTGTCTGGTTTATGCTTAGTGTGAATATGGCCTGTGGCTGACAGGTAGCATATCACCTTGAGCCACTACAACGATACATAACAATCCTTAACACTTATGAATACACACCAAGTGCCAGGAACTAGTAAATACTACGCCTGGAAGTGACTGTGAACCTGTGTCTGCCTCAGGGTCCAGCAGTACTTGCAAAGGAATGGAGAATGTGACAGTCTGTGCTGACTACAAGGCCTTCAGGCACATCGTGCCATATTTCTTAAAGAGACTGTTCTCTCAACATTTTAATTACAAAATCACTACTAGGTTGTTCAGCAGAATGTTCTGGAAGAGAATAGTCAAGATCTGTAGAGGTAGTGAATGACCTTGGGCAGCAAGAGGGCAGATGGCTTCACAGACCTGGCAAAGCCAGGCATTTCAGACCCAGAGTGAGCCTGGGGCTGGAGCTTTTGTTATAAGCTCCAGGGGAAGATGAGAGGCACTAACAGACAAGCTTGTGAGGTTGGCATCTCTGAAACGTCATGGAGCAAGGGGACCTATGGAAAAAATTCTGATTTATATCCCAAGTCCCAAATTCCCAGTGAGAAGTAGGACCTAGGAAGGAGGGGATTATCGTTAATGATTTTTAGCAAAAATGGAAACACCATTTACCCAAGGTCTTAGGGATCCCAGGAAACTTAAGGAATTCATAAGGCCTTCTGAAGCGATAAACCTAGAATGATGAATAACTTAAAACAGGAGATAAAGGCAATTTTCTCAACATGTGAGTAGCTTATGTATATTCTACTGGTGAGCCAGTGAATGGTTCAAAAGAATTTATTTATAAAAAGTATCTTCCAACTTTACAGGTGTTTGGACATGAACTGTTGGCTACACTGTATCTGCTAACTCTACAGTATGTGATCATGAGGCATGTATGATTAAATAGTGTTCTAGAAAGACCAGCCATCAAGGGCATGAAGTCTAATATTTGCACATCAATATATATTTTACCCAATAGATAGGTTAGAAAGAAAATACTAATCTTAAATAATGAGAAATATAAAAAAGTTCAAGAATATGGAATCCAGATATATAAAGGGAATGTGACAAGTTAAGCATGTGAGCAACATCCAGGCTGAAGTAACAATGGGCATTGTTATTTCTTAATGATATGGTGATGTACTTCACACAATAGATGGACAGATGATATGTGTGCATACCAAAAAATGTGGCTTGCTCTGATCTGTATTTCAAACTTCTTAGTGGGTACAATAGGGAAATTGTGATATAAAACTATCCCATGCAAATCTGTTTTCACACAGAGAGCCAAAACTGAGGGTAACTGACCTTCTCTTCCATCCCACTGACAGTTTGTGGTGAGACTGAGTGCAGGGAAACGTCACCACTTTTCTAGCCTGTGTGAAGGACGTTTGTGACCTAGCTAGACTAAAGCTGGGCTTCTAGCACCAAACCTGAGACCTAAATGAAAGGGTGGTCTCACATTTCCTTCTTACCTTTCACTCACAGCTTGCCAATTGTTGACTAAAAAGTCTTTTGCGACATACCGGCCAACTTCAGATGCTGCCACAACTTCAATTATATTTGTGTCATTAAAATTGAATGGAGATGTAGAGATAGCATATTCCATAAATCTAAAAAAAATGTGTTTGCAAAAAACAAATACATAAAAATCATCCAATATAAAAAGTTAATTTAAATAAATGCAATCACAACCCTGTATAATTCTAAGTTAATGATGCACAGTTCTCCCTTTGGTTAATTAATTGCATTCTTCTACCAGGAAACTTTTTAATCCTTAATAATACTTAATAAAAACATATCCTTAATCTTCATCCATGGATATGTTTTTATTTACTTTAGAAAGAGAGAAACACCAATATGAGAGAGAAACATCAATCAGTTGCCTCCCATACACACTGGGCACCAAACCCACAACCTAGGTATGTTTCCTGACCAAGAATCAAACCAGCAACCTTTTGGTGTCCAGGATGGCTCTCCAGTCAACTGAACCACCCTGCCAAGGCCCATCAGGAAATTTCAAGGTCAGTTGATCATAATCACCTGTTAAGTATCCATGGGTCTTTACTGCAGCTCATTGCATAAATAAGTTGAATCCTTTCTTCTTCTTTTGTGTTATTGGTGTAGATACTTAACAAAAAGTCCCATTCTTTATCACTTCCCAAGGCAATGCCATAACATAAAATCACGGTTTTAATTGGATAAGGTATTCTGTAAAGTATAATATGCAATTATATTTCTCATAGTCATTAAGTTATATGTTTGTCTAAAACTATACATCTAGAAAAAAAGTTGAGATCTCAGATATAAAGATCAAAAGGAGGGATCTAGAAAGGCAACTGTGGGAACTGTTATTAGTCTTATTCTCATGAAATGAGATCATCAAATTAGTTTAGAAACTAGTGGTTTTAAGGGAGAAGTAAATTAGAATAGTATAAATGGTAATATATGCTGATAATGTTTGGTCTTATATTTTATTATCACATTTCCTAAGAGTCTATCTGAGGTGATATATTAGAGGTTATATAATAAAACCCAAATAATAGAGTCAGTCTCAGTGAGACAGCAAACTCACAGGGAAAAAGGTACTGGTAATGACAGGCACTGGGTGACAATCACTGTATAAATTCGAATGTACTGTTATGCATAGACCTACATTAGACAATTAAAAAAAAAGGATACTTGAAAAAATAGTAGGAGAGAGGGATTAACCTAGTGAAAACAAAAATAATCACTCCCAGAGTGAGAGCATCAAAAAGGTAGAGGAACTGATGGTGCTGAAACAGGACAAACACAAGGGCAATTACAATATTACTCTTACTCATTCTCTGGGTGGTTCATCCAGCTTTTGAAGAGTTCTCTTGACAGCTGAAGACAGTCTTCAAGGCCCAAGAAACATACAGCTCCAAAGAAGTTTTCCAGTGATATTCTTGAAGGAAAAGTCAAAGAAAAATATTTTATTTTGTATTACTACATTATTTTTCTGCTTCCAAGAATATGTTTCATAAAACTATCGGTATTTGAAAACATCCTTCCAATAACATCAGGTTTGCTTTAAAAAAAAGGATTTGTGGATAACAAATGCCTTTAAGATTTAGAGAAATGTTTGCTGAGAGGCTCTCAGGCACCAAGTAAGCTCCTAAGATGGTATTTTTTTAAAGTTAGAAATAAATTACTGCCAGCCTTTGTCTCCCTCAATCACACGCAGCGTACACACACTCCACATCTGTTATCAATTTATTTTTCCTCCCTTTTACAATTATTGCCTTGTGGATAAAAAATGACTTTAGAGTATTTGATCTAATACTCTAAAAAACAAAGTTCTTTATACATGGAAAGGAAAGGGAAGGGTCTATTTCTCTCCTTTAATAATGTGCTTTTCCTTACTTAAGATTCTATTTCTTCTTCAACTCCTCCTGGCTGTTATATTTATGGCCAGAAAAAGAACAGAGGTTTTCATTTTGTTTGTATAGCTGGGAAGGTATGGGGAACCTATCCGTGTGGTATGGCAAATGTAGCCCAGCCCCTGATTCGGAAAACTGATGGGGAGCGAGTCGGTACATAGGAGCCAAGCCCATGGATCAATTTTCCCATGGGGAATCAGGCCTGTGTTGTACCTAGGCTGCTATGAGGCTTACCCTGTGCTAAGGCTCCTTCACCTCGAATTGAGGCAGCAAATGCTTACTGTGTATCTTTAAAGTAACTTCCTAAAATATGTGCTAAACCTCCCAATTATGGAGTGTAACCAGTTCAACCACTTTTCCTCTTGATTTGCAAATATCCTTTCCCTTTGAAGTAATTAGCAACATTCTTTCCTTTGTTATCTGTAAAAGGTAATCACCTATAGGAACCTGTGCATAGTAAATGAGGACCATTCTCAATGTAATGTACACAGAAAAACAATAAAAGCTTGTCCAGGCAGGGGCTGGGGTCCTCTCTTTTACTTAGAGAGTGGTCATGCCATCTCTTTTTCTCCACAGGACTTCTGTAGTCTGTGTGAATTTGTTCATCTCAGCCACAATACATGGACCCCACGGGCCGGAATCCACATCAAGAAGGGGTACACATTATGGTTCAAAATGAAGTAATTTCAGAAGGCCAGAGTAAAGAACAACAATAAGTCCAGATAAGTGGTGGCTGAGACATGTCTTCCTACATTCTCCAAGTTTGGAGTCAGAGGCAAAGAAATTCAAACTGTCCACACATTTCCAGAAAATGCAAGAGCTGAACCTTTATTGCTCCACCCTCTCATTTCAACCTAGCGTGACTTGACCTTCCCACACACAGAAATGGAATGAATACCCAAGGGTGGAGGCCCTCTGAGAAAGTGCTCTGAACATCCGTTCACACATACACTCCCTCTCCCTGCCCACCCCAAGCTGGCTGCAGCAAGATTGCTCCAAAGAGAACTGGTTTGGGGATGCTACAAAAAGCAGGTTGCTTCAGTCCAATTAACTAGTCCAAGAATATGGCTAGTTAACAGGTATGCTGCCTGAGTGAGCACTCTTTCACCTTCCTGTTTACTCGTGCACGCCTGCACACTCATACCCTAGTTAGTCTTCCCCTTCTTCCATCCACTTGTCCATTCAACCCTGTCCTTCCAGTCACAGGCCCTAGTGCTGGAATTTTCTCCTCTCTCAGAAGGATACTCATGAGAGATAACCACATTTTGTGTACTCTGTATTTCTTGTTTGGTCTAATTGATTTCAGCTTGATTTGACTAGTACTGTAAATAGAATCTCTATAATATTGTTGATTATAAACTCCCTCCCTAAATCTAGAAGTGCAGCACACACACACAAACCTTGGGTCCCAGGAAGACTGGCAGTACCACAGCTGTATTTTGACTTCCACCCCTTTCCCAGACCATCACAACCACATGCTTACTCTCCTCACAAAACCAATTATGTGAAAATCATTTGTAACACTTGGGATTACACGCAATGACTAATATATTTCACTATCAACCTCTCTCACAAAATTTGCACAATGGTAGAATTACTGTCACCAATAATATATAGAGGGGACCCTTTCCCCCTGTGGCCTTCCCATGCCCTTCAATTAATTGGTACAGGCTGACTTTGCTTAGCACAACCCTTCACCAATAGTATGACACACTCATGGTTTCAACCAATATCCTAAGATTTGAGGATATAGAGCTACAAATTCCTGTGCACACAAATGTGCTTTTGCAGTAAATTGCACAAAAAGCACACAAATGTGCTTTTGCAGTAAATTGAGATCCCAAACTATTATTTCCTATTAGAATACATGTAGCTCACCAATCTCAACCTACTGTTCTAAAAGTATCACATACAAAATCTCTCAGTGAATCATAGTTATTAAGATCTTATGTAAACCTGAAAGTCTATTTATTAATATGAATCATTGTATGCAATTATCACTGTTCAGAAAATACTTACAGAGCTAAATAGTCATCTTGCAATGCTGCCACATTTTCACGAATTATAGTTGAATAAATATTCCATATTGAGATAAATCTCTTTAATAGATACTTCTATAAACAGTAAAGAAAATATACTGTTAGTTTTGGCTCACAACACTGAATTTGCACTGTATTTCTCTTTTATCTGAAAAAATATTAATAGTGACAGATATTTCTTCAGAAATGATCTTTATGTCTTAGTAATGTGTAGCTGGTTTAGTTTTTAACTTCCTTAGGTTCAGTTTGCTCATACAAAAGAAATGGGGTTTACAACAATACCAATTATTACAGTTTTGGGAAGACTAAACAATATATGTAAGCACACTGCCTGGCATATCAAATAAATAAATATTAGCTATTATTATCATTTAATATCACCCTATCCATTTCTGGTTGTCTTCAAAAATGAGAAAAAATGTAAAAATTTAAAACTAACTTCCTACTTTAAAACATCCATGTTTAATATATAGACCGCCAAGAAAATAAGGAAAATTAATTTATACCTTAGATAAATTTAAGCCATAAATCTAAAAGAAAATTTCTTCAATTGAACTATCAGCTGGTAAATAAAAAAATTATAAACATATGTTTACAATACATCCTTGAGCATAACTAGGTGTTATTCATTGAAATTCTTTAATAGGTAGTTACAGAATAGCATGGGGATGTAAAGTACAGTATAGGAAAGGGAGTAGCCAAAGAACTTATATGCATGACCCATGGACATAAACAATGGTGTGGGGACTGCCTGAGGGACTTGGAGGTGCTGGGTGGAGGGGGGCAAGGAGGAAAAATCTGGACAACTATAATAGCATAATCAATAAAATTTAAAAACAGATAATTAGTTCTTACTTATTTACCCAAAACCAGTCATCAGATATTATCAATGAGCCACCTCAATCCCACAAATATTAAAGTGCCTTCTATTTGTCACTGTCCCCCATTCAAGTAAGTTTCCATCAGCACTTTGTTTTTTTCTTTGTTTGTTTGTTTTTAACATTTTTTAAAATTTTAACTGTTGTTCAAGTACAGTTCCATCAGCACTTTGGACAGAAGAGAAAACAACGTCTGGAACCCTGAGGTATTTGTGATCTCACCCTCAAACTGCCCAGCAACTCACTTGGAATCTTCACCACCTGACTTACTTTCTGGCTGGTTTGTGGCCCTTAACTCTCTGCAAGGGTGCTCCCTAACTTTTGCTTTGATTTTCCCTGTGCTGTCTTTTTTATGATCACTGTTTAAAACCTAATAATGGAACTTTTCTCCTTTTATATTATTCATTATGATGGCATGTTATTTCTTCATTTATTAATTCTAATTTCCCTCTCCCTCTTTGAAACATCAACAACAGCTTTTTTTCCTTTTTCTGGAACACACCTCTCTGATTTTAAGTGCTGGCTCTGTAAATCAGAGTATTTCAATTATGAATACAGGATTGTTAAAAGTCATTCTGTTGATTAACAATCTTTCAGGGAAAATAGTTGTTAATACATACTATTCTTTTCTGTAAGCAAAAAGGCATACTATTTCTGTCCACTTCTGGTTTCTTAGGGTTGGGGTCAGGACACACCATTTCAATATGAATTAAGTACCTTTCCAAACTTCTTTTTTTAAAGATTTTATTTTATTTATTTTAGAAAGAGGGGAAAAGAGGGAGAAAGAAATATCAGTTGGTTGCCTCTCCACATACCCTGACCTGGAGACATGGCCTGCAACCCAGGCATGTGCCCTGACTTGGAATTGAACTGGCAACCTTTTGGCTTGCAGGCTGGCACTCAATCCACTGAGCCACACCAGGCAGGACTCCAAACTTCTATCATACTCATATCTTAGACCAGATTTATGACTAAGGTATTTTAAAAAAAGAATAATCAGGGCCTGGCTGGCATAGCTCAGTGCGGGCTGTGAACCAAAGTGTCGCAGGTTCAATTCCCAGTCTGGGCACATGCCTGGGTTGCAGGCCATGACCCCCAGTAACCGCACATTGATGTTTCTCTCTCTCCCTCTTTCTCCCTCCCTTCCCTCTCTGAAAATAAATAAATAAAATATTTAAAAAAAAGAATAATCAGTCATTCCTAAAAAATGAATATATATATGGAACTAATATAATAGACTATTACTTCTGAAAAGGCCCATTTCACAGATGTTCTTTAGAGTATAGAAAGAGGAAGAATGAATTTTTTAAAACCACATAACAAAGAATGAAATTACCTTCAATAATGGGTATATATCATAGTTGTTCACATCAGCAACAAAATTCCTGGGTAGCAGGTTCACCAAGACTGCATGCCATACAATTATTTCATCTTCTTCAGCAAGGTACTTGGTTAAATCAAGTGCTGTTTCAATCTCAATATAATTGTTTCTGTTTGGTTTAAAAAAACAAAAACTGAAAAACCTTCACTTGCTAAGTTATTTACACACTTTCCATGTTTGTTCTATGCTTCAAGGCCTGAGTTTGATAAGATACGTGAAATCAGGAGGCTGGAAGCCTCTCATTGATAAGATGGGAACCAAGCAATGTTGACAGGTCCTCCATTTCAATTTGGCAAAGCAGTATTTCTACATTTAGTATGCATTCTTATGAATATAATTTTCATTCAGAAAATATTAATTAAAAGCCATTCTCTAGCTAATGTTCTATTAGCATAAACTAGAATATAGGATGTTATGCTTGCCTACCACTGAGGAGCTATTTCTTCAGTGAGGAACTGAGATTTACACATAAGCAGCTATTAACAAAATGTCCTTAAAAAGCAATGAATACAATAAAGTTGCAGAGAAGGAAAACATATGCATGTGATGAAAAAATCAGTGAAGGACTCCTGGAGGAAAAATTTGAGAAGAACAATGAAGGATTGAAGTTGGTCCTGAAAAAGAGGAAGACTTAAAAACAGAGACTTTTTTAAAGACTTAAAAAAACTTAAAGTGGGAATTAATATGATGGGCAGACCAAGCTAATTGAAGGAGAGGACTTATTTTGTGTATAAGTAAGGGGTGGACCTAATAGGAAAGGTGGATTAAAACTGTGGAGAGCCATGAATGTCTGGATGAAGAGTTTGCATGTGGTGGGATGGTATTTGGACAACTGGGTAACATCATGAAATTGATGCCTAAAAAATGTTATTGCACTTGTGCTGAAGAAAATGGAATGGAATTCAAAGGAACTAAAGGCTAGAAGTTAATGCAATAGGCCAAGCAAAAGACCATGAAAGCTTGGCTTAGTATGGATGCAGTGAAGGTAGTAAGTAAGGTAAGAATCCAAGACTTTCCCATGAACAAATTGGTAAGAAGACATGGTGACTATTTGGGAAATGTAGAGGAGTTCAGGATGTCTCTGATGTTTCAAGTTTGGGTGATGGAAAGAAGAGTAGTACCTTTGACAGAGAAAAAAAATGATAGCAGGAACAATTGAGAGGAAGAAAAAATTCAGTGTCTTGGGTGCTGAAATTAAACAACCACAGGGTAAACAAAAGACACGAAAAGAGAAATAGACACATAGATTTAGAAGTCATCATTATATCTTCCACAATTATCGAGTACCTTATATCTTCTAGGCACTGTACATGTACATAATAGAATAATCAGTGAAATAAAAAATATCTGAGTTATCCAAAGGAAAGATCGAAGAAAAGAACAGAACCATCACTGGTCCTGAGGATGCTCACTGCAGCAGGAAGAAGAGAAGTCAGATACGTGAGGAGAATTGATTTTGCATGCTGGAGTCTCAGGAGGCCAAAAAAGAAGTTTCCAGGAGGATGCGGTCAACAGTATCAAAGTCATGGTAATCTTAGAGAGGAGTTTCAATGAAAGTAATGAGTAAGGAAGGGTGCTGCAGGTCACAGAGGGGAAAAGTAGTAAAGAAATGAAAGATGAAATAAGCAGACATTCATTCAAGAAATATGACAAGCCAAAGAAAGAATACACTAGATAATTTATCATGTATATTTTCCTTAATTTTATTGCCTGAAAATTTAAATTCTGAACATTTACCAACTTACTTGGCTAAATAGTTACCAAGAGCTTATATTGAATAAATATGAGAAATAAAATCAATAATTTTATAATATATTAAAATACAGGCTATATCTCATTAAAATTATACCTATAGCCATCACCCTTGGGTAACATAAATCACTTCAAATCTCAGGTGACACTATTTATTTCCAGCAACTCTTTTTTTAAAATGTCAGCTACTTTATTTCCTTAACCCTCAATATTACAGAAAAATATGAACACATCTACAATCTTCCTAAATAACCCTTTTTTTTTTGTCCAGTGTATCATTGGCAAATATGTTCTCCTATACAGTCAGTTCCCTTTTCATTTTTTTTTAAATTTTATTTTAATCATTGTTCAAATACAGTTTTCTCCCTTTTACTCCCAGTCCAGCCCACCCACCCACCCTTCCCTACTTCCCTCCCATTACCACCTTCCCCCTAGTTTTTGACCATGTGTCCTTTAAGTTTGTTCCCGTGAACCTTTTCCAATGTCCCCTGAAATTCCCTTTACTCTCCTCTGTGGTCACTGTCAGCCTGTCCTCTATTTCAGTATCTTTGGTTATATTTTGCTTGTTTCTTTGCTTTGTTGTTTAGGTTCCTGCTAAAGGTGAGATCATGTGGTATTTGTCTTTCACTGCCTGGCTTGTTTCGCTTAGCATAATGTTTTCCAGCTCCATCCAAGCTGTTGCAAAGGGTAGGAGCTCCTTCTTTCTTTCTGCTGCATAGAATTCCATTGTGTAAATGTACCATAGTTTTTTGATCCATTCATTTACTGATGGGCATCTTGGTTGCTTCCAGCACCTAGCTATTGTAAATTGTGCTGCTATGAACATTGGGATGCACAGGTTCTTTTGGATTGGTGTTTTAGTGTTCTTAGGATAGAGTCCCAGCAGTGGAATCACAGGGTCAAAAGGCAGACCCATTTTTAGTTTTCTGAGGAAGTTTCATACTGCTTTCCATAGTGGTTGTACCAGTCTGCAGTCCCCCCAACAGTGCACTAGGGTCCCCTTTACTCCACAACCTCTCTAACACTTGTTGTTTGTTGCTTTGTTTATGATGGCCATTCTGACTGGTGTGAAGTGGTATCTCATTGTGATTTTAATTTGCATCTCTCTGATAGCTAGTGATATTGAACATCGTTTCATGTGTCTTTGGATTTTCTGTATGTCCTCCTTGGAGAAGTGTCTGTTCAAGTCCTTTGTCCACTTTTTAATTGGATTCCTTGTCTTCTTAGAGTGCAGTCGTTAAGTTCTTTATATATTTTGGAGATTAAACCCTTGTCTGAGGTATCATTGGCAAATATGTTTTCCCATACAGTTGGTTCTCTTTTTATTTTGATACTGTTTTCTTTAGCTGTGCAGAAGCTTTTAATTTTGATGAGGTCCCATTTGTTTATTCTTTCCTTTATGTCCCTTACTCTAGGAGACATGTCAGTAAAAAAGTTTCTGCGTGAAATATCTAAGATTTTCCTACCTACGTTCTCCTCTAGGACTTTAATGGTGTCACATTTTATATTTAAGTCTTTTATCCACCTTGAATTTATTTTTGTATATGGTGTAAGTTGGTGTTCAAGTTTCATTTTTTTGCACGTGGCTGTCCAGTTCTCCCAACACCATTTGTTGAAGAGGCTATTTTTACTCCATTTTATGTTGCTTCCTCCTTTATCAAATATTAATTGACAATAGAGACTTGGTAAATAACCCATTTTAACATTTACTAGAGTTTACAGAAGCAAGCCTGAATCACTTGTTGTTTACCTAAGTTTTTATTCCTGGTTAATACATTAAAATAATGATTCTTATACTTTTTTAAATAATCCTATAAATATTTAAACACTATTATTTTTTTCTATTTATAGCTTCTCTACTGCCTCCTTTTCAAACTTTTTCCTTTAAAGGGTTCCTTTTAAAACAATGAATTGTCTTTGCTGATCTTTTAAGGTTCTTTAAAAAATTTTCAATGATCATTTAAAATCTTATTTTACCAAATCCAATTTAATTGAAAATATATAGGACTTTGATATAATTGACTGCCATTTTGGACTTGAGAAAGAACATATGCTTCCTCTCAGATTGTTGGAAAAAGCATTGCTTTCTATTGCTCTTTCCTGAGAGGACTTTTTAAATTGTGTTTTTTTTTCTTTTTTATTGTGGAAAAATACATATATCCAATTTACCATTGTAATCATTTTTAAGTGTACAGTTCATTGGTATAAAATACATTCATAATGTGGCACAACCATCATTACCATCCACCTTCTTAATTCTTCTCATTTGTAAAACTGAAACTCTGTACCCATTAAATAGCATCTCCCTGTCACCTTTCCCCCAGCCCCTGAGAGCTTCCATTCTACTTTCTGTGTTTATAATTTGATGACTCTAATGACCTCATATAAGTGGACTCATACAGTATTTGTCTTTTTGTGACTGGCTTATTTCACCTAGTGTAACTCCCTCAAGTTGTTGCATATTCCAGAAAGTTTTATGTAATAAAATTCCACTATAACCACAGAATTTGATCCTAATGTTGATAAGTTAGAGCCTGGATATACTAAAGAACCAACTTCATAGTGATGAAGTTTATAATGATAAAAGTTCTCAAGGCACACTCTAAAACCATGAGAGAAGAACATATACTCACTTAGACAAGGAAAAGGCATCATCAATCAACTGTAGTCTGTGAATAACAGGAATAGCCTACAAATTAGATCCCAATATATGCAGAAAAATATGAGAACTTTTTTAGGAAAGAAATAATTTTCAAAAGAATAATAACATTTAAAGATCATTGCTGCTTACAAAGTACTTTCATATGAATTGTCTCATGCAAAGAAATGATCATTACTAAGGGTATTCCCCATAATTTATTATACATCTGCTTTTGATAAATGATCCCTTTAGACATGAATCATAAGGCTTAAATGCAGCAGAGAGTTTTGCCAAAATACTCCCTGAAAACAGCATGTTAAAAAAAGAAAACAGGAAGCCAAGTTTAAAAGGCTCCTCCAAAACAGAAATTACACATTCAATTGTATTACGATGCCCAAATTATTGTCAGGGGAATTTTTTGGCATGGGAAGCCTTCAATAAATATTATTTAGCACCGTTTTGGTAATACTGAAGTACTCTTTAAACGATATATCCCTTCTCAAGATTTTACTACTTTGACACAACACCATCAACAGAGCCCTTTGAATCATGGAAAGTCAGGGGTCAATTGCCGACCTAAGTCCTGAGGCTTCTGTTTGAGCTCTGTGGCACTGCCAGGCCCCAGACTCTGTCTCAGCATTAGTGTCCTAAGGGTGCACAGAGCCTCCCACAGTATTCTGTCAACACCTCCCAGCAGTTTTGTATATTTGGTCCTAGAAAATGTATCTTCACTACTTCCTTTTCAACATCTGAGCAAATCAAGCTTAATTCTTTCCTTGGTAGTAATCTCATTTCTTTCCTGGCAAGTAATCACTCATTTTATAGATTAATATTAATAATTGAAATATTTTTATTTCCTCATCAATTATGTTGTAGGAATAAGTGACCTCAGTGTTTAAGTAAGTAAATCTACAGCGGTTTCAAGAAATCATTGCCACAATGACATGACCTAGTGCTTCCATAGCCAAGAGCACCCTTAGAAATCAAGAAGAATTTAGCTGCTCTGAGAAAGATGTTAGAACAAAATATTTTCATAAGTAGTTTTTGTAGCTTTATACAAAAGTGCAATAATAATTTTAAAAAAATTACTGAACATGTTCTGATGCCTGAATTGTTAATCCTTTGTTAAACATAACACATGCATCACTTTATTTAGTCTTTGCAACAACCCCTTAAGGTCAGCCTCTTACAGCCATTATGATACAGATAAAGAAACTGAGGCATGCCTGGACAAACAAGAGACCTAAGGTCACACACCTGGTAAATAATGAACAAAAATATAGATACAAATCTACCTCACCTCAAATCCAAGGTCTAGACCAATGCTCTTTATTGCCTCTTCTGGTAGAGAAGATGCTGCATGTGCATCTCAGAACTTTCGAAGAGAGAGACACCTAAGATTTCTTTTAGTTCAACACTGTACTTTTACAAATGGAGTCTCAGTGAACTGCCCAGGATTTCACAGCTGGGCCAACTCTGTAGACTTCTAAGCCAGCATCTATCTCCACCAATGGAGATTTGGTCTAATTTAACCAATTAAAATCTTGCTGATTGGAGCTGGCCAACATTTTAATATTTACATATTAAATAATGATTTAGTTGTTTCACAATTTAAAGTGATATTGATTATTGATACTTTGTGGATTAAAATCTCCCCTCTGAGAGAGTAAGAATATAATTTTTATAAAGTTAACATTTTCTAGCATATAGTGTACACTTATTATGGGCTTAGAAATTTTAAGTGTATGTTTAAACATACATTGTCTCTAATCCTTGTGATAAATAAGAAAGATGTTATTTTCATTTTAAAGTGAAGAAATGAAAGCAGAACATTTAAGTAACTTTCCTAACATCATAAAACTAAAGGTTAATGGGAAAATGATTCTTAAGTTTACACGGAAAGATAAAATTGTTGTGGAAAAGTGAGATTAATGTTCAAAAACATAATACATTCAATCAAAATCTCCCTTTTCTAAGAGTAAGAAATGAGGGGAGGGTCCCTTCCCCATCAGGCAGGTTTATAAAAGCTCAACTCTAAAAGGCTAGAGAGCGCAATATTAATGATATTTATTTAATAAAAGGGATAAAAATAATCTTACCTTAGGATCTTTTTCAAGCTGTTGATTTAATTTCTTCCAACCTAATTTATCATAGTTAACTCTATAATATCCAGTCATATTCACATTTAAAATCACCCAGTCATGGTCAGAATCTGAAACTTGCATTTCAGGGAATAATCCTACAAAGGAATATGTGAAATGTTTGAAATGGTGCATTTGAAAAATACTTCAATGTATGTCTGTGTGATAGCCTCTTAATTCTAAACATTAAACTCAATGAAACAAGAATTAAAGGAATTCTAAAATATATATATAGATCTTACCATAAATTATATTTTTTCACATTAATAGCTTTTGATTTGAAACTTTTCTTTAGATCTCTGTGTTCAACAAGAATAATATATAATACTTTAGTTTTAAACAAGATAGTTTTTCAAAAGTTAAATATTTTAACTTTTTATAATATATATTTATGAAGATATTTTTAAAAATTTGTTACTTACTGCTGCTTTTGTCTAGCCAAACTAAAGACTGTGTAGTTCCATTTTTCATCCAAAGAATAGGTACAATCCATGTGTTACTTATTGGAAAAAAATTTAAATGTAATTAATTTTCATACATAAGAATGTAAACCCTGAGCCAATATTAAATGAGATGATAAAATAACAGACAAAACTGGAAATCTTTGGTCATTCCCTCTGGATATGTAAGACATTACTCTTATGATTATTCACTATTGTTTTTACAAGCCAGTTTTGCTTTAGCTCTTTGTTTACTCCCTTGTTGTATCTTACAGATTTACTTCTTGTAAGCTAAGGTAGCTACTAAGGCTGTCTTGTATCTGAAACTTTAAAGGTCTGTTTATAATAAATTATAGCCACCTGGCCTTTTCAGAGGTCGTTCAAATGCTGCAGACAGACCCAAATCCATCCTTGCCAAGAGAGGTAAAGAGAAATTTAGGAAGAAAAATCTTGGTGTCCTGGCTGGTGTGGCTCAGTGCATTGAGCACTGGCATGAGAACCAAAAGGTTGCCAGTTAGATTTCCCATCAGGGCACATGTGTGGGTTGCTGGGCAGGTCCCCAAGTGGGGGGCAAGGGAGAGGCAATCAGTTGATGTTTCTCTCCCTCTTTCTCCTTCCTTTCCCTTCCTTTCCCCCTCAAAAAACAAATCAATAAAATCTTTAAAATGTTTAAGAAAAAGAAAGTTTGGCAAACATTTCAAAATGTTTTTCAGCATCAAGCTTTCTCCCCATCTGAAAAATACTCAGCATGAATCAGCCATATTATTCATATTTACTGAATGCCAACATTCTCCCCAAATTGGTATCATGACCAGGATGAAGTAACTTACCACAGAGAGGACATTAGTCATCTGAAGGATCATGATACTTGGAGTTTGAGCAAAATTTCCAATCTTGCTCAAAGGCTCACAAGTCTGGGTTCTCAAAGACAATAAACTGAGGGTCTGTGTTTTACCTGATAGCTAAGGCATACTCTTCTCAAAGATACAGAATAGAACTGTGAGAAGAGACCTTGAGATCTCTTGTTCCTCTCCCCTGGGGTTTTGAAAAAAGAGTAGGACAACCTGAAAATTATGGTGGTGGTATTTGAAAATTAATTGTTCATTTGTGGAAATAGAGCAATGAGTGGCGAGGACCAAAACTTTATGAAAAGCAGTTGAACATTATCCAACAAACTTAGACATCAAAGGACAGGAGAAAGTGATGAATGTTAAGCCACTTTATACTCATCATTTCATTTCATTTTTACAACAATCTCCTGGGATACATGTTATTGCATTTACTTCATTGTTAAGGTAACTGAAACGCAGATTTTAAATACGACTTACCTAAAGTTTGAATTTTGGTGAAGTCAATATTTGAATCCAGCATCTAAAGGCCATAATTCTAATAATTCTAATATTATAGGTATGGCTACAAATACACACACACGTGCATGTGCAGGCATGTGCAGAATTATTCCTCAAGGACTAGTTACCATTAAGTACCATTTCCAGGGAAGAGAAGACAGCCTTGCAATGGGATCTCTTTTACTCTTAACTAGCATGAGGTCATGCACAGGTCTATCATATTGCCTGTCACCCAGAATCCTAAGTAATTCATTATTTCTGTCTGAAGGACAAAAAGAAATACGCAACACCCAAAGCTTTGGGTCACTGGTGTTGGGGAGGGACACTGCCTTGGATCCTTACATGCAGGTCCCTGGCATGGCTCAGGACATCAGGGGCTCTACCTCATCCTAGCACCCCAGTAACATCCTGCATGGAGTCCTACATCACCATCCCAGAGTCACTCTGCAAAAGGGTGTACCCAGCAGGGCTTATGCTTCCTCACCCACAGGCTGGCTTCCATTTGATCAGAACTCAAGCCCAAGGAAGGTAAAGACAAAGGAGAAAATCTACCTACTTGTGGGTTAGAAGAGTCTGATTTTTAACTTTTCCAAGAAAAAATGGCTCCTGTTTCATGACGCCAGTGGATACATTTAAGGTGATAACTGGAAAACCACTCTGGTGTGTCCAACTGTCCATTATGCTTTTTACTGTTGCTGGCAAAACAATTTTACTCTGGTCATCTATGGCCTATTTTTAAAAAGCATCAGAAAAGCAGATATTTGTCATCAAAATCTTTTGAGGTAGCAATCTCCTAAAAGAAACTATATAGCTATTTTGTACAGTAATTCCCAGTGGGTGATATTCTGAGCCAAATTCAGAGCTCTTTTCAATTTTATATCTGATGGTTCCTTAGTTTGTTTATTCATTCATTCATTCATTCATCCACTGAACACATGTCATTAGATCTAATACATGCAGGCTCTGTTCTAGGCACTGGGAATATAGTGGTGAAGACTAAAGAAACAGCCCTGACCTAAAGGAGTTTCACAACCAAGGCAAATTTGTTTTCCTGTGGCACTGCCATACATGCATGGCCACCCTGTCTTGTTGAACTCTATTGTACGACTCTGTAGGAACACTTCAGGAAGACAATACCATTTGAAAATGCCTCCACAGATCATCTTGCTCGGCATTTGAGTAAGAAAATGTATCCAAATATGACTGTAAAAATAGAAAAGTTATTGTTAAAATAAATCACAACCCAAAGCAATTTATGTGCACTGCCTTCCAGGTAACAATTTAAGGTAAACTCACCTTAAGTGCACTAATAAATACACTCTCATTCAGGAAACTAGAAAGCATCCGGGCCATCGATGCTCCCTAAGACAAAAGAAACTGTCTATGATTTGAACAAAATTCAATATCTAAATACTGACATATTCCATTTTGATTAGTATTATTCTGGGCTGTGGTCCTGATTGCACTGTGTATGTTAGTTGAATGTTCCAGTTATTCCAAAATATTTTAATAAAATAGTAGACTGTCATTAATTAATAGGTAAAAGGTGAGTTAATGTCCGACATACAAAGAGTTCAATGTACACAAAATGTTTTAAATTGATATATTTCCGTGGCAAGAATAAATTTGCACCAAGCATAAGCATTTACCATTAAAATAGCAAATGTTTAAGTCTATTTATAATGGTAAATGGCACTGAACACATAATATCGAGTTGATTAATATTTACTAGATTAAACACATTTACTAGATAAGAACTGACTTAACCACATTTTCTAAAATCTACCTACTGAACAAAATGAAGGTTATTTGTACCAAAAGTTTAGTCTATGACTCTTAAAATCCATTTTATGCAACTTTCTGCAAGAGTACAGAACAAAAGAAAATATATGACTGACTTTACCTTATTATAAGTAAATGAATCAAAGAGCTCATTTATTTCATTTGTTTCTGTGAAATTGTCCACCTTCATGGAGACGGCTCTAAATGCCAGGGCATGATCTTCTCTGAGAACATCATGTAAAATGTTAGAAAAAAATACCTCATTCTACAAGGAAAAAAAAGGTGAGCCACATTAAGTTCTGAAGTGTCAAAGAAACACAAAATTCAATGTTCCCAAAATAGTTTCAGTGTCAGTTCAAAAACTGACACTGAAGAGGAGGAAAAAAAGACAGTAATTGAGAAGTGCTCCGTGAGCTGTGATACACTGAATAAATCAGGATTCTGTGAATAATGAAACTCTAGGATTCTTTCCTTCCCATTTGTTGTCAGCTTTTATTTCAATTTTTAAAAATATTCAATTACAAAGTTAATGTGATTTCCAAGAGAGACAGCTCCATTTGCCCTAAGGAGGAGGTTCCCTGGGGGAAAAGCTTGTCTTGGTGGTTTTAATCCTCTAGAATTTTATAGAAAATTTTATTAGTGACCCCTTAAAATCAATCAATCTCTCTTGCATGGACATTTATAAACCAAAAGCGTGCCATATTTATACATTTGCAAGGATGCTGATGTAATAATTTGAAATTGGAAATAAATCCACAGACTTGATACAACAGTTTATATCTCATGCATTAAAAGAAGGCGATTTGTTATATTTTACTGAAAAGTACAGAACTCTCCAAAAGATTAGATTAGATCTCTCTGACACATGACAAGGGCCATCTCTTTTTGAAGGGAAGCCAGGAGTCTAACCAAAGTATAGACAAGAGGGGTGTGGGATGGACGGGCCACAGAAGGAGCAGCAGAGACACTGCAGGGACAGCTCGCTCATACCCTGGAGAGTTGGGAGAACCCCTGATAATCCACATTAAGCCTCCCTCAGGGGTCCCCATGTCAACTCTCACCCCTGCACATTGTCAAATAAACTTGAAAATTCTGCCCCGCTTCCATTAGCCAATGTTCCAATCAACCCTCTCCTATTAGCATGTTGTTTTTAGATGTATTAATACCATTGATTAGGCTATTATGAAACTCTGAGAAAGCCTGTCATTTAGGGCAATGCATGTCAATAAAGAATAACTGGGGGTTTTGTTGAACTCATTCTAATTCAGTTGGTCTGTTTTGGGGCCTGTACCTTTAATAAACTACTAGATGATGCTGATATTGCTAGTTTAAGAATCACACTTTGAGTAGCAAAAATTTAGGAGAGACATCTGCCTAAGGCTGGTCTTATTAAGTACAGGTTTTATTAGTTTAACGCTCAAGAGTTCTGTTTCTGCATATGGTTCTCTGGTTTTCCTACTCAATTTCAATCTAATGACTAGATTAAAAGTCCACAATTTTTGAAGATCATTGAAACAAGGCCTTAAGATTTTAAAAAACCAAGCTTGTGGTAATTGTCTCAAGTGCCAGGAGCTGATGCTCTTCCAGCAAGCGTTATATTCACTCAGTTTCACAAGCAATTGAGAAATGTAGACTCAGAAAAGAGTGATTAAGAAGCAATGATAAAAAAATAATGGAATGGTACAAAAAAGGCTAATCTTACCATGTGAACTACAAAAATACCACTAATATGTTTTCATCAAGTTTTCCCAAATATGACAATATCTTAGCCATTTTAGTTGCATTTAGAGATACTGATTGATGTTAGTATATTCTCTTCAATTAAGAACATAGAGGGTAAAATTTTCAAATGGGCAGAAAACCTGAAAATACACTTCTCCAAAGAAGATATACAGGTGGCCAATAGATATATGAAAAGATACTCAATGTCACTAATCATCAGAGAAATGAAAATTAAAACCACAATGAGATTTAAAACCACACCTGTCAGAATGACTATCATCAACAAGTCAAGTGTTGGTGAGGATGTGGAGAAAAGGGAGCCCTCGTGCACTGTTGGTGGGAAGGCAGATTGGTGTAGTCTCTATGGAAAATAAGATGGAGGGTCCTCAAAAAATTAAAAATGGCACTGCCTTACACCCAGAGATTTCATTTCTAGGAATATATCTGAAGGAATCCAAAAAACGAATTTGAAAGAATATGTGCACCCCTATATTCATTGCAGCACTATTTACAATACCCAAAATATGGAAGAAACCCAAGTGCTCATTAATAAATGAGTGGATAAAAAAGTAGTCGCACATCTATACAATGGACTATTACTCGGCCATAAAAAAGAATGACATCTTACCATTTGCAATAGCATGGATGAACCTAGGGGTTACTATGCTAAGTGACATAAGTCAGTCAGAGAAAGACAAATGCCAGATGGTTTCACTTATATGTGGAATTTAAGTAACAAAACAAATGAACAAAATTTAAACCGTCTTATAGATAAGGAGAACAGATGGATAGTTGCCAAAGGGGAGGAGAGTTGGGGGCCGGTGAAAAAGGAGAAGGGTTTAAGAAGTACAAATTGGTAGTTACAAAACAGTCATAGTGATGTAAAGTATAGCATAGAGAATATAGTCAATAATATTGTAATAAGTATGTATGGTGCCAGCTGGGTATTGGAAGTATTAGGGGAACAATTTGTAAAGGATATGATTGTCTAACAATGATGCTGTACACCTGAAACTAATACAAATAATATTGACTGTAAACTGTAATTGAAAAATTAAAGAACCTAGAGAATGAATCTAATTGTTTTTATGGGAATGGAACTTCTTTCCTTACTGACTCTAAGTACAGAGGTAAAGAATATATGGAAAGAGGTTTTGAAGAAAACTAAGATTTACTATATGTGTATAAAGTTTATGTATATATGAATAGAGTCATATAATGAACACACACACACTAGCTCCTTGAGAACAGAGCACTCCCAGGGGCATTCTCTGCAGAGCACGGTGGTTAAAGTTATGGTCTTAGGGATGCAAAAACGGGAATTGAATCTCATCTTTAATATTTAATAACTGAAACAATTTGCTTAATGATTCTATGCTTGCTTCCTCAACTATAAGATAGAAAAATAACAACTACACTCAGATGATTGTTTTGAAGACTGAGTAAGATGATGTATATCTAGAACTCGTACTACCTAAGTGCCCAGTTAGCGGTCAATACCTTACTATTATAGTTACTAGCATCGTTATCCTCGTTATCTTAAATCCAGACAACTGGGTTATAATCACAGTTCTGTCCAATCCAGAATATGACCTTGGCAACTCACTTAACCTTTCAATACTTCATCTCCTGACCTATGTAACGGTGTCCAGCCCAGGGGAGGAAGAGCAGCGGCACCACAGAGCAGCTGCACTGCATGTTATGGGATGTCTGCAAAGGGCAGGGCGGGTGGCACGGAGCTGGGGCATTCAAAGGCTGCTATGTCAGCGCTTCCCAGAAACTGATTTCACAAACAGATAAAAAAAGATGTTTTTAAGTCTCTGTGGGGCCAAGATAGGTTTGTCAATGTCTTATTCTAGCAATTTTTAATCAACAGAAGACAAATATCATCTATATACTATCAACATCCTTTCATTAAGGAAGAGAAAAGGGACATTTTATTACCAAAATAATAAAACCTAATCTTACAATCTCCCTCTAAGTGAACAAATTTAGCTTGCAAGGAAGATCTGGCCACTGGAGGTCTGCTGCTTTAACATTTAGGCTGGGCAGGAATATCAAAGAAAATAACATAAACTCCAAAAATACCATATAAGGTAATACAATAAAAATTACCCGGAAACACTTAAAAATCTTGTTTTTAAAAATAATTAATGATTTGTGGAAATGCTTTTTACATCATATGAAGTAGAAAAGGCATTATTCTTTTCTGTGTAATTCCCACTTTTATGAATATTTACAAAAAGCCTGGAAAAAGAAAACACATTAAAAAGATAATATTGATCATCTCTGGTATTACAGATAATGTACTATTCCTTGTATTTTACACATTTTCAACAATGAATATGCATTACTTTTACAAATAGGAGAAACAATGATAAATAAATTTAACAGACATACTTACTCCGGGGAGTTTAGGATTGAAGTAGTTAATTACTCCGAGCTCAAAATAAGATGCAAAACCTTCATTGAGCCAGATATTGTTCCACCAACACATGGTGACCAAGTTTCCAAACCACTTTTGGACATGGAAGAAAAAAGAGCTTCCTTAAATTTAATTTAAGTAATATTTACTGTGATTGCATGTTAAATAAATATAGGGTCAGAGACATAATGAAACTTTGTTTATCATGAAAACAGGACTCCAAAAAGCATGTTGTTTTAACATGAAGAGATATCAGTCATGCATGTCTCTGAAATAATTATTTTACATTCAATGATAGAAACCAATTTTCCTTTTAAAACTGTGATGTTCAAAAACAATGAAAGCTAGAGTAGCATTTCTTAAAGTGCTCACTTTGCGCATAAGTAAAACAAAGCAGAAGTTCTAAATGTTCACTGAATACCTAATTACAGCTTCTTATACTCTAAAGGATTTTGCTGTAAGAAGTTACGACATTTTAAAAATATGATTTGATCTGTGCCATGTACAAATCACTTGAGTAATCATGTTCTGCAAAATGGTTCAGCTGTGATTATTTTCTATATGAACTTAACAGAAAGAAAGTGTCAAACAGATGATGAATAGAATCAGGAAAGGAAAACACAATAGTTTCCAAAACCAACAAATCCACACTCTGGTATTTAACCAAATTCTTATAACAGCTGTGACATACTCATACTTAGCAGCCTGTGTTCCAAAACAACGTCTCCCTGAGGATATAATAAAAAACGACACTTGAGGTGACTGATCAAAACTTGCGGAACTGTGTGTTGACTGGGTAACATGGTGTTTGTTATTCAATCCCAGGAAACCACCCTTTCCGCCAAATTTCTTATGAATTCATACAACAATATGATTTCTTTCTTGACAGACTTGTATTAATGGAGTCAAGGTCAAGAGGAATATGTGAGAATTTCTATCAAATCAGATAACTAAGCCTCTAAAATAAACCATGAAAGCGTGGAGTTCTATTGAAATGAGTCTTTGTTTCCACCTCCTTTGGGGATGCAGCTCAAGGGTTCATCACCATTCATCTCACTGACACTAGCATGGTGCCTGTGTTCCTTTAACCTCTCTCCAAAGAAAAAGTTTGTAGCAATCTACTGATGAAATATGGATATTTTTAGTGACCTTTAGTGACCTTTTTAATGTACCTTATTTTGAGATGGCATGAAAACAAATAATCATAGATCTGCTTGGCTTATTTTTCCTGAAAAAGACCTTGGGGGGTATAAGAGGACTAAATGGTCATGGAAAAAAATACAGAAAAGATTCGATATAAATAAATAAATAAACTTTTAAAAAGAAGACTTTGTGGAGCAAAGTTAATCTTTGGATGTAAATACCTAACTGTCCAATGGACTGTAAATTCTCATCAGTATGATCTATCACCAATTGTTCAAATCCACACACGATCTGATTACACAGAGCTCCTTATTGTTCTCATTTTCCCATTTTTTGAACAATTTTTAAAAATTTGGTATGCAGCAGGTTGGTTTTTTGGTTTTGGATTTTTTGGGGGGAGTTGCTATTTTTGTTAGAGCACCTGGAGAACATCTTCATGTGAAGTGAGAAAAAATGTTTTACCACATGCCTGATGTCCGATCTCGTGGGAGACAATGTGGGAGATCACCGTCTCCTTTTCTGTCAGTCGATCATCTGGTTGCAGCAACAATAATGACTCATCAAATATCAATAGTCCCCAGTTTTCCATGGCACGGTTGTCAAAAGTAGGCAAGGCAATTATATCTACGTGGATTTAAATGGAGGGAAAAATAGAAAGAAAGTACGAGTGAATATGAATAATCTGAGAAAAGTCTATAAAGACAAATACCAAAGACAGAAGCCAGAAAATAAATTTTTACTATATAAAAATCAATAATTTTGATAAAGGACTTGCATCTAAAATATACAAAGATCTCTTAAAAGTCAACAATAAACAAACAACTTCATAAATTTGGCAAAAGATCGATTGAGACACTTCACTAAACATATGTAAGTGAAAAATAAGCATATGAAAAAGATGCTCAACACCACATGTCACCAGGAAGTTGCAAATTAAAACAATAATGAAACAAAAACAACAATGAGATACCCCTACACACCTATTACCATGGCTAAAATCCGAATGCTGGAGAGGATTTGGAACAACAGGAGCTCTTATTCATTGCTAGAGGGAAAGCAAAATGGTACAGCCACTTTGGAAGAAAAGTTTGGCTGTTTCTGATAAAGCTAAGCATAGGCTGACCATAGAGTCTAGCACTTGAGCTCCTGGGTATTTACCCAGATCAGTTGAAAATTCATGTCCATACAAAACTTGCATACAAATGTTTATTGCTTCTTTATTTGTAATTGCCAAAAATGGGAAGCAACCAAGATGTCCTTCAATGAGTGAATGGATAAACAAACTGTGGGACATCCATACAATAGTGAATTATTCAGTGATAAAAAGAAATGATTTATCAAGCTATGAAAGGTCATGGAGAAGCCTTAAATGTACATTACTAAGTAAAAGATGCCAGACTAAAAAAATTACACATGGTATAATTACAGCTGTACATCAGTATGGAAAAGGCAAAACTACACACAGTAAAAAGTCAGTGGTTTTCAGGGATTGGAGGAGGATGCAGGATGAACAGGTAGAGTACAGTGGATTTTTATGCTAGTAAAACTATTCTGTATGATGTTATAATGGTGTATACATGTATTATGCATTCATCAAAACTCATAGAACTGTACAATGTAAAGTGAACCCTAATGTGAAATATGGACTTTAGTTAATAAAATATATCAATATTGCTTTATCAATTATAATAAATATACCACACTAATGGAAGATGTTAATAGCAGAAACTAGAGGCAGGATGGGGGGGGGGCAGGTAGAAGAGGTATATGGGAACTCTAAAAATAAGATATATTTAAAATTAAATATTTTAGTTTCCTAGAGAACACCATAAACAAATTTGAAGGGCAAACCACAAACTGGTATAAGTATTTGTAGCATATGATGGGGGACCCCAAACAACCCCTAGAATTATCTTCTGGAGGGTGGGAACTTGTAGTACAGGCTTCCCCTGCTAGGTGAGTGTTCTAGGAACCCATCTGTATCAGTGTGCCAGCTGGTGTTGTTGTGAGAGACTGTAATTGGTTGGCTTCACTCAATTTTTTAAAGACTCTTTCAATGTGTTTGCCCATTTCATGATGGCTGATTTACAAATGCACCTGCCCACACTGTGCTGAGTGTTCAGCAGTTTTGACCCAAAACAGCATGTCCCCTGTGTCCAACCCTCCCCATTTACCCAATCTTGCCCCAATCAGCTTTTTTTTTTGTTTCTCTGGATTGAAAAAAAGCCCTCAAGGGGAAATATTTTGTCATTGTGGAAGAGGTGAAACAAAAAACAGCAGAAACACTAAAAGGCATCAAAATCAATGATTTCCAAAACTGTTTTGAGCAATGGAAAATATGTCTTGATAGGCGTATTGCATTAAATGGAGAGCAGTGGAGGGTAACTGAAATTTAGACATGTAAGAATAAATACACATTTTTTTATAAATAAATTCCAGTTTTTGTGGTCTCCCCTCATCTATCACAACTGGACAATATTTTTTTCATTGAAGAACCCTGACAAATCAAAAAAAAGTATGAACAATTCACTACAGAAATAAAATTTAAGCAGCCAAAAATCTTATTTAAAATGTTCAATTTCTTTACTTATCAAAATCAAAAGTAAAACAATGGTATAACTTAATCTTTCAAATGTATGAGAAGCTTAATAATTAGTAGTAGTTAGCATTAGCATTAATAATTAGTTATAGGAAAACTGACACATGACCGGCAATGGGTGTGAACTGGAGTAGTCTTTCTGGAGCAATCCAGCAAAATGCTTCATAATCTTTAGAAATGTTCCTATGCTTTGACTAAGTCACTCAACTTTTGGAATTTATACTAAAGCAAATAACACAGGTATTTGTAAACATTTCTTTACAATGGTCTTCTTTAGTGTTCTGAAAGTAGCCTTCCCCCCAAAAAGTGGTTGAAGCAGTCCTAATATTCAACCACTGAGGAGTAAAGTATTTTATCAAATTGATATGTAGGTATTTTCTGTATTAAAAATGACAATAAAAAAGAATGTTTAGTTATCTGGATCATATTGCTACCTATGAAAGAAGAGTGCCAACTCCATGTTGTTGTCTTTGTTAAACATGAAGCAGCAAATACCAAGAAAGACAGAGATCCAGACTAAGGCAAGCATTGGGACAGGCACTGAAGGCCAGCCACAGCTGTAACTGTGTGGCGGCATTACAGGGGATTTCTCTTATCTTTTTTGTGTTTTTCCCCATTTTTGCAAATTTTCTACATTGCAATCATTTATGACTTTTATAACTAGAACAATAAAAGTTTTTAAATTTTCTTTTGCTAATAGGAGAAATATTATCATCCATGTTACATCTGCCTGGTGAGTGTTCTACGCTGTGCTATGCTCAGTAATTTAAGTTGACTTTACACATGGCTGACGCTGACGGTGTGCGGTAAAGAGTGCACCTGGGTCCTTACACAGCCTCCATAGATAATGCTCTATTATCTTGGGGCAAACTTAGTTGCCTTAGCTTAGGTTCCCTATTCTTCTAACCTTCCTTTTCATCCACCCACTGCCATCCCAACCACTGACCCATGTCAGAAAAACAAAATACATTTACATGATACCCTCACATTAGAGGGAAAAAATACTGAACAACCTTCTGAACCAAATGGCTCACACAGTTTTAAGGACATACTGCATAGATCTATACGGGATAAATGTTTACATATTTCCTCAAAGATCATATCATACTCACACATGATTCCAATTTTATATAACAAAAATTCACAGATGGGGCCTTTAAGTCCTAATCTAATGACTCACAGCTAAGAAATCTTTTTTTAAAAACCAACAAAACCTTACTAAAGGGAACTGGAGTAACTCACGCGGGCCTGCCGCAGGGACCCAGAACACTGCGCTGCACACCTGCATGATGATAGAAAGGACAGGATGCAAGAGAGAAGGCAGGGCCTGGAGGGTGTAAGGCTGCTGGCAGGGAGCCGGGAGGGATCTGAAGCCTGAGAACTCACTGAGTACCTGCTGAGCACATGGCACCACACAGAGAAAGAGCAGACAGGCCTTTATGTGTTCAGAGGGGGGTGCAACTAACCCCAAAATAGCATCTAAATGGTGACAATGGGTCATCAGGGGCCCACCTGGATACACTTGACCTCAACTCAGAGCCCTCACAATAGGAAATCAACCACATTGGAAGGGAAGACGACTTACCTGTTTTTGGAAGAGGATAACTAATATTAAATAAGTCTTCCAGGAAAGAGAAGATGGGACCTGTGATGTTCAAAGCAAAGTCTGCATTTCCATTAGCAATGGCATCTTTCCGGGCCCAGATGCGTATCTAAATCAAAACAATTAAGCAGTGATTAGGAAAAGCAGTGATTGATGTTGGAAAATGAAAGTATGCTTGCTCTAATTCCCTGATACTCTAGAGCCAAAGTCACATTTTTTTCAAAAGAAGCTACATAACCAAATGTTTAAATGGATATACACATTAAGAAAAGCCCAGAAGGTTCTTCACTAAGTCGTGAACAGTCATGAATAGTAGCTCCCCAGAAAGTGTGTTATTTCCATCTTTTGCAATAACATGTGTAACTATTGCAATCCAAAAACACTGTGTCTACCCTTGCAGAAAATGTAGATTCTATGTTAGGGTAAATGGGCACCTTGGGCTTTTACTTCTCTGTTCTGGACATATTCCCAATGTTCCAAAACAGAACTGTGCAGTCAGTGAGGGTTATATAGTAAGGTATATATTAAACAATTTTGAATCATGCCAATTTAAAGTGATTTGTTAATGAAAACATTAATAGTCCCATCTTATTTTCAAAATTTGGAATACAGTTAATTTGCCTAATGTTAAATTCATCAAAAGTCTTATGTTTTTACAGTTCTTGAAGCAAGTAAATTACATTCTCTGTTTATGATGCTTCCACTTTAGTAAGTAAAAAGAAATTCCTGAAATGTTTCGTCAGTTTAAAGTAACCATGTTGTTGTTTGGGCACTTGGAAGTTATTTGCATGATTTTGGTGACTACTGTAATTTGCTATTGTTTTAACACTCTTTATTATTTTAATACGAAATTATTTTATGCTCCCACACAATGCCATCTAAGCATTTTTAATGGAGTTGTTAGTATTAATGCTAAAGAACATGTATGAAACTCAATAATCCTGGGATGGAAGTTAGAGGGAGATGAAGGAATTAAAATAATTGTCCTGATGTGAGTATAGTCAATTTGAGAAAGAGCTCTTTGCAAAACATTACAGAAAATGCTAAGGAAGTGAAAAACGGCACAACAATATCTGTGGATTGTTGCACTTCAAGAACACCTTCACCTTTAATTTTCGCTAGAAAAATTTGTCTTGAATTATGTAAATTTTGAATTATGTGAGGTCTTCAGGAATGTTCCTCTCTCACGAAACGCAACCACCTGCTTTTGAAGCCTTCTCCCTTGATCCCGTCATTCCTTCCAACCTTCCCCTTGTGGCAGAGGTCTCAGTACCCTGGGAAAGAGGGTCCCAGCTCCCAGCCCCGCACCAACAAGCTTGCCCTCTGCAACTCAAGTTCTAATTTCTGAGGTAACAGAAAGACTGCTGAACCAAAGCCCACACTACTGAGTGGAAAGAATAGGCTCCTTTCCCCACATTCAAGATCATAAACGCATTTTAATTCACTTGATTATTTGGAAAATAAGGGCAATAACAAAGTCTGTGGGACAATTTTCAATTTATCAATCTCCTCCCACAAACTACAGTATTATAAGCCAAAATGCAGGCAAATAATGGAGATTTCAAGCTGGGTGGAAGGTGTGGGTGGTCCCTGCTAGGGCAGCAAGGAGTATTTGGAGGTGCAGCCATAAAGTTCCTTCAAAACCACACCCAGTCCACCAGTGCGTTCTTGTGGACCTCTTGAGACAGCCGACCTCAACATCTACAAGAGAGGAATATCTACACACAAGCTCATGTGTGCTAAATTCTACTCAAACTATGTTATTTCCAAACTTAGTTTTGTATTTCTTAAATTTTATTTTACTGAATGAGCAATTTGTATATAGTCTGGATGTTATTCCAAGAGTACACTCTGTTCCCCTGTAGAGTATTTGGTGGACTCCTTCATTTTGTTGCCAAATGCAACATGCCACTGATAAACTCACCCCAAATCTCAGTTTCTTGGCTAACAACATTACTTTCTTAGGTATCTTCCATTGCATCTTTCCTTCTAAAACAGCTGGCTTTCTATGCAGGGTGATCTTTCACTGAGAAACATACTTGATCCTTTTATAAGAATTGTTCATGTGCAGTGGCATTGAGAGCAAGCCACTTGAGACGTGGATGCCGATAGACCACCGTGGGTCACTCATGAGCCCTGGGGCCCACTCCTTCATGCCACGCACAGCACATGTGCTTTCAAACCACACCTGAGTATGTTTATCAACACACAGGGTCCGGCAGGCAGAAGTAAGGCCTGCTTGAGTGTGGTTGGTAGGGTGATAATGTGGGTGTAACAATTTATAGTTTTAATTTGAACATTTCACCTAAAATATCACATGGTGTGCTTGGGTGTGATATTGTTGTGTTACAGAATTACATGCTTATGATTTGTAATAAAAAGGGCATTATTTGTGCTGGACCCTGTATATGTCATGGATGTTTGACTTGGCCAGTGTTACCTCTGTGAATATCAAGGATTTACTTGATTTTTCAATGAGGAAAAGCAGCTGGGGCCAACAGCTGAGGAAGATAATGAGCCACTGTTTGCATCCAGCACAGGATTTTTAATTCATCATTAGGTCAGGAGTACAGGAGGAGTAACTTTGAGTGATTCTCCCCGTGATGGCAGACTTGGCTCATCTCCAGCTTCCTTGTCTCCACAAGCAAGAGACAAACTAGGAGCCTAGAAGGTCTTGGGCACAAAAGAGAGCCTCAGCAAGCTGTGGAGTATAGTCTTCCTCAGCCCTGTGAAGTTGATCTAACTAGAAAGAACTGGGAATACAGCAGTGGCCTTACTTACCTCCATGCTCTAGCATAGGGAGTAAACCAGTGTACACAGTACTTGCACAATAATCTGGATATTTTCTTAAAGGATTATTATATGATAAGGATATAATTGGGTGAAAACTAGGTATCTCAGGACAGAGCACCTACTTCATGCAACTCTGGGGAGGAACCCAGTAGCCCTGCTTCTCAGTAGGGATGGTACTTAAGCTGCACCATTTCAGCCACAGCACTTGTTCTCTGATGGTGTCTGTTTTTGTTGTTTGGTGCTTGTGCCACACTGGTTCCTAGACATTTTGAGAGGCACCCAGCTTCAAGGCTTCATTAACATTGTAGGCGAGGTAAACAACAGGTAGACCTGAGCTTCAAGGTGCAAGTACATCAGCTTTCCCTGTTCTCTCTTGTCCTCTGAAAGGCAGTAATGACCTGGGAAGAGGGGCCTCAGAACCTGCCTTGAGTGGGCTTAATGTGTGGCCTTCCATGGAAACCCCTTCACAGAGCTACAGCATAAATTGTTGTATCTCATTCCTCAAAGCCACATGAAGAGCTTTAAAGAGGCTTGGAAAAGTTGGAGCACGAACCAGGCAATCATGGTGGGATAGATAGCCATCACCCCTGGATGCAGAAAGTAGATGAACAATCTGCAGCCAGTACAAATGTACCCTTACCTGGAAAATCTTCCTTACTCACCTCCTTGCCCCTTTCAGTTCTGTTGACATGCTCATAGTCACATATAACAAATGCAGCTAAGTAAGTAGGCATGCGGGGTGTGGTGTAAAAGGTGGTAACAGTCCATTTGTTTCCATTCACATCTTCTTTTTCAGACTGGCCTGGAGAAATTAATTTGAGTCCAAATCACTAGAAACCTAAGAAATAATATCTACCTTTAAATGAATTTGTCAAGTTGATTGTCACCTGGCTACTTCTTCCCAGCTACTCCCCACAGTCTAACAGTTTGGATTTCTCTGCCCCTAAGGTATCGAAACCACATGAGGAAGATATAAAGGCAGCATCTTCATCCTGAATTAGCATGTTGACGAATATAGTCTTGACTGAGGGGCCGCATCCATGAGCACTGTAAGTTAGGCCCATGATCAGCCTCCTTTCTTTTCCATCCACTTCCACCATTTCCTAGTCTGGCACATTTCTCAAAACGCTTAAGCTAGAGCTTCCCAGACCCATGGTAGGTCAATAAGGTACAGTTCTGACCATCTCAGGTTTCCATTAGGTCTTGAGTGGAGACAGGCTGGGGTCTTTAACCTGAAATCACAAATTCAAATGCCTGCAAGGGCCAGGTGAATACCTGAGGTGAAAAGGGCCGAAACACACTAACAGGGGCTGGCCTGATCCTGGCAGGCCAGGGAACACAGGCCCAGATTGCAGGTGGCAGCCTGTTTTCAGCTGTAGCTATGGCTGTCATGTAAGATCTGCAGGTCCAGTGTTGTTAGATATTTTAACTTTTCAAGGAAGTAAGAATTTTGATTTTTATGAGAAATCCCTGAATTTTTAAAAGTTAGATACTAATTCAATAAAAACAAGAGAGTCATGTGAGCCAAAGAAAACACCTCTTTGCACCAGATTCAGACTAAGACCACTAGCTTATTGTCACTTATGATCAGTAGTTGAAGCCCAAACTAATGTGCAGACAGGCTGCCAATGTATCAGAACAGCATAGTGTCCCCAGCTTCTAATACAAAATGGAACAGGATTCAAGATATGGGAGCAACCTAAGTGTCCTTCAATAGGTGATTGGGTAAAGAAGATGAGGTATGTATCAATATGATGGAATACTACTCAGCCATAAAATGTGATGAAATAGCCATAAAATGTGATTTGAGACCACATGGATGGATCTTGAGAGTATCACGCGAAGTGAAATAAGTCAGACAGGAAAGGACAGGAACCATATGGTCTTACTCATATGTGGAATATAAAACAGAAAACAATAAGCAAAACAAACAAACTCATAGACATGGGCAACAAACAGTATGGTGGTTACTAGAGGAGAACCAGGTGTGGAAAGGATGAAGAGGACAAAGGGGGTCAAATATATGGTGGCAAAAGGAGAAATAGATGATGTATTATAAAACTATATATGTTATTGACCAATACTGCCCCCACTAAATTTAATTTAAAAGAAGGAACAGGATTTATCATCTCAAAGATGTGGGTACTGCCACATACCCCAGGTGATTGCTCTCCCTAATTATAAGACATTATCAACACATTGCCTAGAAGAGCTATTCATTTAAAAGCTATTACAGCCCTGCTGGTGTGGCTCAGTGGATTGAGCACCAGACTATGAAGCAAAGAGTCACCTATTTGATTCCCAGACAGGGCATGTACCTGGGTTGCAGGCCAGGTCCCCAGTAGGGGATATGCAAAAGGCAACCACACATTGATGTCTCTCTCCTTCTCCTTCTCCCTCATTTCCTCTCTCTCTAAAAATAAATAAAATATATTTTTTAAAAAGTGATTACAAAGTTAAATATAGTTACAAAGTTAAATACAGATCTGTCCAGAAGATATCCAGCCATATAATATGAAAAATAAAAACATTTATTGAAGAAGATAAAAGATACAAGAAACATTGTACATAAGACAATGATGCCTCAGTCCCCTGCAAGCTAGGTACCTTGGGACCTCACACAGTTCTCCCAATGGCCATCAGCTGCCCTGTTGTATTTGCCTGAATCTTATCAATGGTCTTGAAATCTCTCCCCTTTCAAAGGTGATTTTAGTTTTGGGAAAAGCCAGAAGTTGCATGGCACCAAATCTGGGCTGTCAGGGGGCTGAGACACCTGGGTGATTGATGTTTTGCCAAAAAACTCTGCGTGAAACATGATGCATGAGCAGGCATGTGTCGTGATGAAACTGCCAATCACTAGTTGCCCATAGCTGTAGCCTTCTGAATCATCCTAGTAGTTTCCATGGAGGAATGTTCAAGCTGAACAAAAAAATTGATGCAGATTTGTTGCTCTACTTGCTCAGCCATTTTGAAGTGCCACAAAGTACACATACATGCTCACTCAACAGGGTCTACTGCCTCCAATTAATAGTACAGTGAAGTCATCATTGTTCACACATGTGCATTCCAGTCCACTCTCCTTGGTTGCCAGGTTACACTGATATCATGCAAACCATTCTCGTTATATTAACTATGGCTGGAATTTTTCTGGACAGACCTCATATATACACATATGAAATTATTATTATATATACATACATAGATATATATGTGTATATGTGTGTGTGTGTATGATATATATGTGTGTATATATAAATATAATGACAGGAAATATTACTTACCTAGCTTTGGCATGTTGGAAAGAGCCACATATCTTGGATGATGAATAATTGTAATATTAAAAGTTGCCTTCAGAGCTGGCTCATCAAAACAAGGGAAAACATTCCTGGCAAATGTTGGTTCCATCTGAGATGCTAACAGGGCCCTAAAATACATTTTTTGGAAAAATTGATTTATTTTTATCTCAAACCAATGGAAGAAAAAAATACTGAGGGATTATGGCTTATAATTATAAGCAGGAAGGAGCTAGAATGATTTCCCCTCATCTTGCCTGCTGCCCTCCCCATAACACACACACACTCCAATTTTCACAAGACCTAAAATACAACAGAACTATGTAATTTTAACCACAAAATAATATTTACTTAATCACATCATACGCCTTCAAAACCTTTTACAAACAAAATAGGAACAAATATAACCAATATGCAATACCAGGCTTTTAAAAAACATGTATTTTTAAAAATAATACTACTACTTTGGGAATGATCTATTGCTTTTATCTTCCATCAAAATGCAAATCAGCTGAAGAATGTCTACGTTTTCTTCTTTTGCTCACACATTCCCTCTTCTTCCTGGGTGAAAAATTACAAAATGTTTCAGTTTTCACACTGTTGGGGGGTAAACAAAATGGGTAAATGCCAGTGAACAAAACAACTTGTATTTTACTTCTTGAATTGCCTTATATATGAGTAGATTGTATACTCTACTCATCAAATCCCTGCTTCTCCTTCCCCCAGCCTCCATGGAAAAATACAAATAGTGACATTACCCCACTGTGCACTGGTGATTTATAGGGGAAGGCTTAGGGACAAGAGTAGCCCAAGCAAACAAGGGGGTGGTCAGGTTCACCCTCTGTAAAAACTGCCTGAGTCTGACAAGGGATGGGTCCTAGCAAACAACTTTTTCCTCAAAATAAATCTGCAGTCTCACTATCCCCTTTTCCAAGACTCCCTGACCTGGGAAACTGCTATTAGATGACTATCGTGGAGACTGAATTCCTTCTGTCTCCTCAGGTCCTGGGACTTAATCTGATGCATTTACTCCTGCTTCAGGCCCAGTTCTTAAACAAAGAAAAGGTGAGTTCAACAAAGATATCTTCAGAGAGCACTGCCCATCCATTACCTATCGCTGTGGACTCCCCCTCTGCCATGGCAAGGCCCCTTCTTACAGAGAAACTCACATAGCCTTGGGAAAGATACAGAATGGTCGGAGGTTGGCACATTCAAACACTTCTCTCAGTCAGCTAATTTGATGTGTTCATACCCTATGACAAAAATATGACTTTCAACAGCCTGCTTTGTCCTGTTTGCCTCTCCCACTTTATTATGCTCTTGCTCGCATGGACTGAAGTCAGGCCTTTGGACTCTGACACCAGCAACTGTGGCTGCAAGAGTCCACTCTGCCATCTACCACCTGAGCAGTCCTGACCAAGTCACATGTTCGTGCTGAGCCTCAGCTTGCCCATCTGAAAATGGGAAGGGTTTACAGGAACAAATATAAAGGACACATGGACAAAAACTAGAGGGGGATGGAAATGGGAGGGAGGTGGGGAGGGATGGCTGGGTGGGCTGGGATGGGAGTAAAGGACAGAAAACTGTACTTGAACAATGATTAAAATAAAGTTTGAAAAAAAGTAATGACACCACCTATCTTTTATTGTTGTTTGAGCTTTCATATTATTAGTAACTAAATTTACCAGCAAATGACCTTTGAACTGTTTTATATTCCTTCCAATTTTGTAAATTGTTTTTGATATAAATGAACTACAGAAGAATTCAGTGAGGAATAAGTTCTGGGGTAGAGGTGGAAGGCTGGAAATCACTAATTGTGAATGCATTAAAAGGTTCCAGAGGTCACAGTTGACCACAAGCTGAATATGAACCATGTCTGTCTTCCCAATAAATTTTAAATGACCAGAAATTATGGGTTAAGTGTTTTCCTTCTGTATCATTTATAATACTTGGCAAAAATAGGGTTCATAGCAATTGAATAATTGTTTTCTCAGCTGTGGAGGTACTATAAAATAAAGCAGTTTGATATTAGCATACACAAAGACCACAAAGTATTTTTGCAGAGTCTGTTATATTGGCATTTGTTTGTTTTGTAGTAGTGGTTGCTATCTTTAAAAGGGATGGGATAAAGTAGAGAAGATTCAAGCAATTGAAAACCTAGTGAAAAGAACATCGAGCAGGGAATTCAGTGACCTGAGTTCTTGCTCAGGATCTGGACTGTAAACAGTGTTGAAACTATGGGAAAGTTGTTCAAACTCTGGGCATCCATTTCTATAAAATGTACAGATAGGACTAAATGATCTCTAGCTTCAGGGGATCTCTGAGTTCTCTGAAACTGTGGGACATTCTGTACCAACAGAGATATATAGATATATAAAAGGTACAATGTAGAGTGAAAAAAACACACCCAGTTATATAATACATGCTTACATATTTGGAAGGCCAACAAATGTCTATTGTTTGTATAGCAGAAACTATAGAAAATAAAGCTTGATAACATCTTCTCTGCTGCCATGATTTCACAAAACATATAAATCTGAAGGAGGTTCAAGGTAGGGAGGAGGAAGAAAAATCAGACTCTTTCAGGAAATGGGAAACTTCTATGCCCATCAAAATGCATTACAGGTTCAAAAAGGCTGAGAGATGCCAGCTTAGTCACCACTTCAACAAATCAAACATCAATCAAGTGCCTTTTAGTTTCATGATTCAGGTCTCCAGAGAAGTGAAATTAAAGAAATCCACTTGGATTTTACTCAACTATTTCCCTCCCTGGTTTTATACAAACAAACAAAATGGGAAAAATCCCTACAATACAGACAGAGTCTGTCTGGCTCTCAATTTCAACTACAAAGGTCGAAGCCAACCAGCAACACATACAATCCGGTTATGCCACATCTGGGGACCAAAGACTAGTGTTTAGTTCCCTTCTTGGGACTCAGGCAATCCTGCAAAGATGTCCTGACCTCAGAAAATAGAACCATCCACCACCCTCTCCTCCCTTCAAACCTCACTGAAACATGCTATTATGATGCCCATGACATCTGGGTTTAGAGTGCTCAGCTGGTGAGGGAGTTAATTTGGGAGAATTTGTCTCCAAACAGCTCAGTATTACAAAGTCACTTTCTTTCCTGTCCTCTTGCACAGTCAGAGAATCATGGACTCACCACTTTCTTGTGCTGGAAGAGGTCTTAGTGGTCAAGACCACTTGATGCCCTTGGGGATAAATCTACTACCATATAAAAATATTCACTCAGTAAGGTATTCCATTCCAAATTATTTTATGAACTCCGTATGTCTACAGATCTAGTTTACAAGTGCCAAACAACATAGCCAATGAAAGATTAAATAAGACTCTTTGCAGAGTTGTCCCCAATTTTCTTTTACATGACACACTCAGAAATCAAAATATTTAGTGAAGACAGATGTTATGCCACTGGACTGTGGTTCAAGGGTTGGCCCATGAATCATGTTTGTTTATTACTTGTGTAATAAGATCTGAAAACTGAAGTTTCCATCAGGCAAAAAAAACATAATAGATGTAAAATTCCAAAGAAAAGTGCCAAACCATGCTATGAAGATATTCAAAGTAAACAGTCTCAAGAACCTGTAGGCTCCTCTTGGACTTCTCAGCTACACCAAGGACAAAAAAGAACTGTCAGAAAATGGAGACCCAAGAGATTAGAGAGGAGATTTCTTGAGGGGCAGGTGGCCGATATTTTGCCAAGCCTTCCTGATTTCAGGTAGTTGAAAGGAGGTGCGGCCCTGTAACCCTGTGCTAAGGGGACAAGATTCCTCCGAGAGCAGAAGATGTGTTTTCTGAGACTGAGACTTAGAGGCCAGTGACCAACTGAGTCTGCCTTGGGACCCATGTCAGTCCCAGGCAAGGGATGTGTGAGTGTTCCTTGGAAGAGCTGTGGGCCCTGAGACACAAAATGACAAAATGAGCCACTATGGGAACTGTCTTGGGTTCTGTCCAACAGAGCCACCGGAGGAGCTTGGAGATGCCCTACTCAACGTCTAGGGGCTGAGGAAGGAGTCACAAGTGACTATCAGAACAGAGAAGTAAGAAAAACATTAAGCAGAATCAAGGGAATTGTAGGAGAAAGTGAGAAAACTCGGAAGTCCAGAAAAATAACATCTAAATGGAAAAATGCATCTACTGGACCCAAGTGAGATTAAATGACAAGAGCACTGGTTTAAGGAAAAACTGCCCTATGTGTCACCCCTCCCTGTCTTCCCCAGGCCCACTGGACCTGATGGGGTTGAGACTGCCGCTCTCAGGATGGAAGGAGAGGACTAGAAACATGAGGTGAAGAAATGGAAGGATGACTACCCACGACCTTACCACAGGTTTCCATCTTAAAGCCAGCCCACACTTGCAGAAGTGAGGGAGCACAGGCAAAGATGGAGATTTGACAGTAAATTAAGTTCAAAGTATCAGGCAGGACTGCATTTTCTAATTTCTGCATCTGGACAATACTTGTGACTTAGTGACCACAGATCATCTGCCTCCTAAGAATGAGCAGGAAATTATAGGCTGCTGGAGTATTCATGCCGGAGCAGGAATGATTACCCCAGACACTAATTGTAAAAGGACAGTGGAGCAAACACAGCAATATTTTTTACTGATCCATGAGGTGTTCTTTTTCAATACACTGGTTACATTGGTTTTCAAAGATACAGGATCTAAATCTTTGATGAGCAAAACCATCTTCCAGAGAAAACTGCTCAGCCACATGAAGTATATGGGTTCAACACCCTATGGGATAATGAAATGTCCTCTTTTTTCTGTGACACCAACGATATCATGTGCCTGGCACTTGAGTTTACTGAACTTGTTTTGATATTTCTCAATTTTTTTCTAATATTACTCAAATTTCTCTCATGTGTCATACCCTGAGGTCTGTGCCAGATTTTCTAGCATAAACAGTGACTGGAAGGAAGTCTTTCAATTTGCTGAATACTCTTTCTACACCTGCACAAATTGATTGATTTTGATCATGCTGTTCTCACTTTAATTTGTCCAAAATAAAGATCTCAATTTTCTCCAGCTATTTCATACTAGCAAGCTGCTCCTGCTCCTTTGCTCCTGATGGGGACAGTTCAGAGGTGGGGCTCACACTCTCTCCAG